TACTCAATCAGGAAGGCTTCTCAGAGGGGGTGGTTTCAACTGAGACCTGAATAGTGGAGAGGAAGCAGCTACGGAACAGTCAGGTGGGAAGACGGTTCCAGGCAGAGAAAGTAGCAGGTGCAAAGTTCCTGTGGTGGGAACAAGGAAGGAGACCAGGGAGTTGAGGAAGAGAAAGAAGGCCCCGGCGGCCGACTGTCAGTCCAGTGAGGCCAAGGGTGGGAGGCGGGGGAGACTGGGGAGGTCAGAGACCCCTGCTGCCTGTTCAGCTCCGCCAGGAGGCCTTGGTGGTGGTGGAGGAGCTGGGGGCGCTGGAATCAGTCCCTCTGGATTCAAACCCTAAGGCTACATGAACTCAAGCTGGGCACGTCAGGCTCTTGGCCTCTGTTTTCTCATCTGTAATATCGGATGAAGAACTGTTCTCTTCCCCCAGGCACCACAGGAACGGATGAGGTTCAGTGATCAGAATTCTTGTCCCCAGGGCTGAGCCATCCTCCTGGTCTCAGCCACTCATTCGCTGATTCATTCCAGTCAAGCCAACACGTGCGGCTTGAGCATGTGCACAAGTGCTATGCACCAGGCCCTGTGCCATTAGCCCAGCACCGTGGCACACAGTAGGTGCCCGAGGCAGGGCTGCCACCAGTGTCTGCAGCCGTTCCCAATCCGCCAGGCCTCAGGCGGTTTCCTCTCCCTCCGCCTTGGCGACAGGCCCAGCCTTTGGGACACACAGTGGGGGCAGTCCAGAGCCAGCGCTGAAGTCATGCCCTCCTCTGGGAGCTTCATGTCCAGAGGGAGAAGACCGTCAGAGACGCGGGAGGCTGCTCTGTCACTAGAAGGCCCTTCCCACCACACTCCAGAGCCCTGGCGTCCCTACTAGATGAGACGGACAAGATTCCCTGCCCTTGAAGGGCAGGAGACAGAAAAGGAACAAAGAGACACATGGCAGATTTCGGCCAGGTGAGAAAAATTAAAAGGGGGAGGGGAGAGGGTAAGAGGAAAGAATGGGAGGTGTGGTGACCTTCGAGCAGCCTGAATGAGGGGGCAAAGCGTGAGGCCACCTGGGGGAATCACACGTGCAAAGACCCTGGGGCAGCCCCCTCGAGGCAGGAAGGCAGCAAAGCACCTTCCACTTGCTCATGATAACCACCCTTTCATTAGTAAGAGCTCGTCAACCTTTCACTCCCCTGCCCCCATTTCTGCCAGGTCCTACCAGATTCTCCCACGGTGCCCCTGGGCAGAGAGTCTCTGAAATCCAGTGACCGCTGTATTTCCCAGACGCTAAACGTATGATGTTGCTACCACCGCCCTGGATTCAGCAGTATTTCTGAGCTGTGTGACCGTAGGCAGGTCACTTAACTATCTGAGTCCATCCCGTCTTCTGTAAAATCAGGCCTCCGTAGTACCTATCTTAAAGGGCTGGTATGTGAATTACAGGAGACGACGCCTTTACGCAAAGTGACCAATCGGTGCTGAGTGATCAACACGTGAGAGATTCTGAACGTTGCTACTGGTCCTTCAGAGACGTCTAGGAGAGGCTGACCAGAAGATCAGGAGTCCTTTCTGGGGAATTGAGTTCTCCCAATGACAGGTGACAGAACTGAGGCACAGGGGACACGGCTCTGCCCAAGCTGCCCTCTCCTGTCCACTCGCAGGCCTCTAGGTGATGCTACTAGTGCCCAGAGAGGGGCAGCTTTCAGCTAGGCTTTCTGATCCACCTCCCCTCAAAGTTCCAAAACCCTGGAGACTTGAAACGGAAGCCCTTGCAGTTGCTCTGAGGTTTGGCCAGGACGGCCCGGCCCACAGCGCCACCTGGTGGTCAGTGATTCCACGCAGGTCAGGGCTCCCCGCCAGGCAGGAGGGCGCATGACTATTAATAATTTCAGATTCCTGATCACAGCCCCCTCATGAACATCTGTTTTACAGTTTACATCCTTCTCACACATCCAATTGCCAGGGAAGAAAGACGGGAGAGGAGGAAAAACATAAGAGAAAAGAATATAAAAATAAACAGTCTAGCTCACAGACATGTATTATAGGACAAAGCGGGGGGGGGGGGGGGGGGAAGCTAGGAAGGAAAGAAAACAGAGGGGAAAGAGACCAAAATAATCAAGAAAAAGAGAGAAATAAAGGGGGGAAAAAAAGTTTGACCAAGAAAAAGAGAAAATATCCACACCAAGTCAGGCCAAGCCCAGATCAGAAGGGCAGAGGACACGACCCATATTGCAGACAGTCTCAGCCACTGCTGCCTCCGTCCCAAAGTGTGCACGCAGAACAAGTGTTTGGGTGGGAAGCCAGGCAGGCAGGAGCTGGCAACACTCAAGCCCTGGAAACCACAAGCTCTGGACAGGACACGATCCCTGGCGCCACCTGCTGGACAGATGGGGTACCACGTTTATCCCCAGGAAGTTAGAGTTGGATGCAAGTAACTCCATTTCTCAGAGAAGGAAACTGAGGCTGCAAGAGAGACGGTGACTTGTTAAGAGATGGTCGCTCAGCAAGTACAGCAGCCTGCCAGGTAGAGATGTCTGAAGACGTCTGACCTCAAAAGTCTCAGCCCAGGTCTCTCCCCATCCCCAACAGTCCAGCCCAGGTCTCTCCCCAGTCCAGCCCAGTCCGAGAACAAGGCCAGGTGCAGAGCGTGTGGTTATAGGCATGTGCTTTGGCCACACGCAGCTAGGGTGTGGGTTCCTGGCCCTGACAGTGATGAGCCTTCTTTTTTTGTTGTTTATCAGTGGTTCACTGACACCCAGCACTGGGCCAGACCTGGGACAGAGCAGACAGCATGGATGTGACTCCTGCTCCCAGGGTGCTTCACTGATGGTGGAGAATGGTAAATATATAAGCAGTTACATTTAGATAAAATCACAAAGTGGCCAACACACTCCATACCACCTTTGGCTTTCCGAGTGGCCCCCAACACAGCCCACACCAAGGGACCGTATCCAAGTCAGCTCCGTTTGACAAGTGGAGAAACTGAGAAGCAGGGGGAGCAGAGAACCGGGGGTCAAGAGACTCACCGGCTGCAGGGATTCACCCATCTCTCGATGCTCCGTTGGTCAGCACAGCCACTCTTGGTCACCAGCTCCTCCCTCGGCCAACATCGCCATGGCAACGCCAGAGCCGAAGATCTGGAGATTCAGGAGGCCAGCACTGGCCAAGCTCGCCCAGGCAGGGCCATCCGGAGATGAGCAATCAGGTAAAGGAGTGTGTTAGGCCAGATGGGAGATGGAAAACTGACTTTGCTCAAAGGCAGCGGCCACGACCCAGCTTCAGGTGATATGTGACCAGGCAGGTCACATGGTCCCACAAGGGCCACAGGGACCAGAGCATCTGAATTTTCAAAAGAAACCCAGATTCAGGATTTGGAAGTGAAAGCTGCTGGTTCTTGAGTGTCTAATTCAAAATTAGGAAAACATCAGGAAAACAAAAACAAACTACATCAGCTTCTAAGTTTCAGCTTGCAAGTTCAAGACGTCTGGTCATTTACAAAACACCCCTTCTCTGTCAGCAGGCCTTCATGCTCCACTTTGTACCAAGAAGGGCCTTCCAGAGCAAGAAAGAGCCCCAGGCTTCTACCCCATTTGCTGATGCAGCTCTGTTGTCTGAGAAGGGATGTGACTTGTTCAAGGCTGAAGAGACCTTAATTCTCAGTTCCAAACCAAAGCTGCCCGTGGCCATCACTGCAGGAGAACTCACTCATCTCACTGCAGGCCCTCTGGGTGCAGAAAAGGACACTTCTGCTTCCTGTAAGCGTCTGCCTGGAGGAAGGCAGCAAATCCGCCCTGTTGACCCCAAATATATATCAAGGTGAAGGCTCTCCCCTTAGAGAGATTTTCCCGGGATCCAAATACAGGCTTCAGATAATTCAAGTAATCAGTCCATCACTGTGCCCCAAATCCCACCAGGATCTACTCTCATCTATTATATTATTGAGTCTTTTGAAACCTGTAATTGAAAGACACAAGGCTCTCTTTCCAGGAGGGACCCAGAGCCTGGGTCTGGAGAGAACAAGCTCTGAGAGTTTGGAAGGAAAAGAGATGAAAAGAGAAGGGGCTCTGGTCCAAAACAGCAGGACTAAGGGGAGGCCCAAGCACACTCATGAGAGTGAGGGCTTCCAGAAGGCACCCTCAAAGAAGCCCTTCATAGAGATCAGTGTTTTCCAAAGTGTGGGAAAGGAGGGGAGAGAGAGAGATGGGGAGGGAAGGAACAGGGTAGGGGCGAGGGAGGGAGACGGAGAAAGGCAAGGGGCAGACGATTCAGGCCTGAGAATTAGATTTCTCTGCCTGGGCAGACAGACCCAGGCAGCTTCATAAACACGGCTCAGAGCCTGGGCAGGTGAGAACCCGCGGACAGCCTTGGGGCCTAGACCACAGGACCCCGTGTGCGGGTACCATGTCTGCATGGCTCTGTTCTGATTGGCCCATGTGTGGCCAGCGTGAATTCTGATTGGCCAGGAACCAGCCAACCACCTGTTGAGCACTTGGAACTCCACTCCCGTGGGATTCCGGACCGAATGGACCTCGCAGGTTGCGGTGATGGATGGATGCTCATCCCTTAGACCAGCCTGATGGCCCATCACTCAGACCACCCTGATCCGAGGGCACACGTGAGACAGGGACTCCTGGCATGACAGCAGTAGGAGGCAAGGGAATGCCTGGAGAAACAGTCACATTTTTCCACCATCACACTGAAATGAGTACTCAGAACCCAAAACAAAGGCGAACCATACATACATAAAGACAGTGCTTTTCTTGGCACATCTGAGATGCAGACCCACCTGCGCGATCTCGGGTAGTCCTCACCACTCCCCCGCAGGGAATATATACATACTGCCCTCATTTTAGGAGGAAACTGAGGTTCAGTGTGGTAACTCATGGTACCGATGGAACCAGCCTCCGCGCCATCTTCACAGCGGTTGCTCACTCCTCCCGTGAAACGTGCAGGCCCAACCACCCCCAGGCCACCAGGTTCAGCCCCGAAGGAACCCGCCACAGATCAGGATCTTTGTATTATAAACCAACTTTTAATAATAATAAAAAAATCTATCATGAATTGAATGAGAAGATCTGTACATTGTAAAGTAAACCAGTGCACAACACCCTTGCCCGCAGGGAACCCTCTCCCTTTCTGACATGGGGTCCTCATTTGTACCAGGCCACCTCTGTCCAGCAACAAGCTCACCTCTTGCAATCGGATGCAGGGTGGCAAGAGAGGGAAGGCGACTCCTGGGGGTGCAGGGAGCCAAGATGTTGGTGCAGCTTCAAGCCTGCAGGACAGAGGAAAACCTACACCTGATCTCACCCATCAGCCAAGGCTGGAAAGACATTTCCCTGCTGGCGACAGGAGGTGGAGGCAACAAACTCTGGGGGGAAGGGGGCCGGACAGAGGGGTAGATCTTGTGTAGGTTCCTGTGCCCAGGTGGGCAGGGTCGCTTCCGGTCTCTCTGGCTGGCTGAGAAGTCCCAAATGCCCTGCTGCTGCATTGCTCTGGATTAACATTAAAAAATAAATTACAGAAGCCACCTCTCAGGATATCTCAGCAGCCCCTCTACCACCGAGGACACACACTGGTGTGGGACTGCCTCTCCAGTGGATGGTTCAACCCCCTCCAGCCCCCAGGCCTGGCCTAGCCACCTCTGAAACCCTTGGAGCCAGTCATTCAAAAAACAAAGTAATTCACCCTGATACAGGCCAACGGCTAGAGAACTGAGGGTGGGTGGGGAAAGGAACCCTAGTTGATATCTGTAAGCAATATCTTAAGACCCTAATACTAAAAAAGATGAAATACATTTCTTTCATTTTCAATAATTTAGTTTTTTTTTTCTTTTTTTAGTAGAACTGGGAAAAGTTGTCAATACTACTTTATGTTGGTCCCCTGTTAGACAATATAGCTTTCTTTGAAATTTAAAATGCAAATATATACTCACATAACCTGGGGGGCAGGAGGCGGAAATCTCAACACAACCAACGACAACATAAAAATCCCAAAATAAACCATAGAGAGTTCACGCCATATAAATAAAGTTGGGGCAAGTCTTGTGCCCTGGGCTGATGGCTCCAGTTCCAATGGCGTTGATAGAGTAAGCCAGGGTGGCTTTCAACCGTCCTCTTGGTAATAAGTGTTGTGCCCTGTCCCTCTGTCTTTCCCGGCAGAGGTCTGGCTTTTCTGAGTCCATTGGGGAGATTAGTACAGGGTTAGAGGGGGATCTGGAAGCTAAGGTGAGGAAGAGACACGTGTGGTCACCTGGAATGTGGACTTAAAGGAAACCAGGGGTTTCCAAAGTGCAGGTTGAGTCATCCCGAGGGAGTTGGGGCCACGGGCCTCCAGCTGCGGCGCCCCTGACGTCTCCCCTGTGTCCTGGGGACTTCGGGACAGGAGCGCAGGCCTTGGAGGCACCCATCAGTTCTGTGGGTCCCCAGGACCCCCTCTGGATTCTGGCAGAACTGTGGAGAACATGCCGGCCCAGGGCCAATCGCCAGCTCATCCACGTTTGGGGGCACCATTTATCCTCCCAGGAGGTGACGTAATGGAGGAGGCCGGGCAGATCTCGAGGCAGGCGGAGCGGAGGCCTCAGGCCAGCTCTGGAGAAAGCCGCGTGGCCCCCTGTGTCCTTGCAAACCCCGGCTCCAGAGGATGCGGCCAGGCACCAGGCACCTCGGCGTTTAGAGGTCTCCGTCCACCGGCGGCTGGCAGAGGCGGTAGAGCCTGGTGGATGGAGGTGAAGAGGATGAGGGGCAGCCAAGGCCTGTCATTACTGTCATCGCAGCATGTGATTTATGTGAATGTGCAGTCATGCCCAGAAAGCAAAACTCAGCAGGTGTAAAAAGACGCAGAGTGAAAAATTATCGAGGTCGCCCACACTCTCCTCCAGCAGTCCAGTCCCCGCCCCCCAGCAGTCTTGCTCCCTCCAGACCGGCAAGGGGTTTACAAATACAGACGCAAACACGTGCACCCGTTTGTGTGTCAAGATACGCGTGTGGCTGTGTGATTACACGTGTGGGTGTCTGCGCATTTTTCCACACTACTGGTGGCCAAGCAGACCCAGCACTCTCTCTGCCCCTGGAGTTTTTCGTTTAATGTATCTTGGGGGCTTCTCCTTGTAGCATGTGCAGACCTGCCTTGGGTTTCTTTCTGGATGGGAGGATTCTGAGCCCCATCTTCAAGTAAGGAGCCACTAAGAGGTTTCAAGCAGGAGACAGCATATATGCTGTGTGAGGAGGATGGCAGGGGGACCAGACAGGAGGTGGCCACAGAGACAAGACAGGGAAGCCGGAAGGCGCAGGGGTCGGGAAAGGGACGGCCTGGGCTCAGAAGGGCCGCTCTCATTCTGTGCGTTCGCTGTGTGACCTTGGACAAGACACTTCACCTTCTGGGCCTCGCTGTCCCCACTGCCCACGGCAGAAAACACGAGGACCTGGCTCAGAGAGTTGTTGTTTAAGCAAATCAGTCGATATAGGTAAAGAGATGGGAATGGTGCCTGGAGCAGGGGAAGTGACATAGAAAAGCATTTAAGGGACTTCCCTGGTGGTCCAGTGGCTGGGACTCCACACTCCCAATGCAGGGGGCCCAGGTTCAGTCCCTAGTAGGGAAACTAGATCCCACACACCGCAACCAGGAACACGCAACTAAGAATCTCGCACGCCACAACTAAAGATCCCGCCTACCACGATGAGGATTCCGCACACTGCAACTAAGAACCGGGGCAGCCAATACATAAAAAATAAAGAAATAAATTTTTGAAGAATATTTAAAAGCAACATGGGCCAAGAGTGTAGGCAAAAACTAATGGAACACATAGATCTGTATGAGTTCTTGTATCGCTCCAACACCGTTTCCTGGTCTTGACAATGTCCTGTGATTACATGAGACATTATCCTGGGGGGGTAGGGGGAAGGGGTTGCTGCATTGAAGGACCCCTGAAAACGCCATAGTATTTTTCTAACTTCTTGTGGTCAAACTATTTCAAAATAAACAGTTATTTTAAAAGTGTGGGCCGATGTCAATAGCAAATCACCACAGTGTGGATGGAGAGAGAAGATGCACTAAAATGAATTATTCCTAGGACAGGGGGCTGCGCACAGTGCTATGAGAAAGTCTGACACTGACTCAGAGACTATGGGGCCGTGAGGACAGGAAGAAGCAGGTGAGCTGAGGGCTCTGAGGATAGCAGAGAAGAAGCAGTGTGTGAGCAAGTTGCGGGGGGCACACAGATCCTCATTGCCCCATGGTTCACTCTGGGGCCTGGCCTCAATTTCCCAGCCAAAGTGGGAGCCCTGGAAGGTAACAGACTAAGTCGTATTTGCTGTTTCCCAAAGGGGATCCCATGAACGAGAGGGGAAGCCCCACCTGAATGTCAGAGGGTCTGTCTGGGGTGAGGCCAACCCCAGGGAAGGGAGCAGAGGGAAGGAGAAGGTGGGGGACAGCCACTCACCGCGGGGCGCCCTGGGGCACCTGGTCCTTGACCCGGAGGTTTTTGGCCAAAATCTCCACCCTGGGGCCCTGAGAAGAGAGAACAGTGAGGGCCCAGCTGTCTCTTCATTGAGCGCAGGGTGCTTGAGGAAGTGTGTGGGTGGGATGAGGTGGGGTGAGGGTGACTGGGAGATCCCCAGAAGCGAAGATCTGTAGCCCCTCCAGAGGGGACACAGTCATCAGCCCCATCCCCAGGCGGCCCCTCATCCCACCCGGGCTGTGAGCCCACCACACCCAGGCCTGGGCGCCTCCCCTGCAGCCTTCCGGGGCCCTGGAGCCTGGACGCCCCACCTGCTTCCGCATGATGTCCGTGGCCTGCATGATGCACTTGGGCAGCAGCCCGTGGCTCCGCGCCAGAATGGCCGCTTGCTCCAGGGAGAGGCTCAGGGTGCTCCTGCAGTGGGGTGGCAAGGGAAAGGGAGTGGGCAGCAGGTGAGACAGAGGCGACGTCCTGCCCCCTACAACCCCCAAGACCCCGATCGAAGCGGCAGGGACAACGGACAGAAGCGAGAGAGTGGTCCAGCCTGGCCCCAACCAAGACGCGTGCCCATTCCTGCCCGTGTTCTATGGATGCTCCAGCAGAACCAGGCGGCTCAGCTGCTTGGTCACACCAGCCAGAGTCAGGGGGCTGGGAAGTTCAGCAGCTCTCCCAGGACCACCTTCCCCTGAAGTCTCATCTCTCAGTGGGCAAACTGAGGCCAAGAGTGGGCCGTAGCCTTGTCTGGACTCAACAGGCAGCGAAAGAACCAGGATTCGAAGCAGGCCTCCAGCCTCCCACCCTGGGGCCCCACCCTGGGGCCCCACCCCGCCCAGAGGCCCGCCCAGCCCCTTCCGGCCACGCCCCTCCTCCCCGCTCTGACTCCGCGCACCTCTGCATGCCTGTGCGGCACATGGCGATCTGGCAGGCCCCCAGGCGGTAGCAGAGCTCGGAGGAGATGGGGATGAGGCCGGTGCCCAGGCTCCCGGCGGCACCAGGCTTGGGGTGGACGAAGGACTTCATGAGGCGGCAGAGCTCGTCCAGGGCGTTGATGGGGCGAATCAGCTGCGAGGTACACATGCCCAGGTGGTCAGAGGCTGCCCCCCACCCCGCCTTCCGCCCTAGGCTTCACCTCTGATCAAGCTCCATCACAGCAGCTGTCTTCCCCACTCTGTCACAGGAGTGTCTGAGCCAGGGACCCCTGCGGCTGCCCCATAAGCCGGCATTCGGCACTCACAATATGTTTCAGGCCTCACCCTCCCATCTAATTCTCTTCACCTGCACAGGTGAAGCCAAGAGCCATGCCCCTCCCCGTCCTCTCTACACAGCAGCCCCTCCCCGGGAACAGTCCGTGGCCCCCACCCCCCCCACCTCCCCCCCGGCTTGTCGAGCATTGCCAATGCAGGCACAGAACTCTGGGCAAGGCTTTCTGTGTTGTCTTAAGACTCTGCCAGCAGACTACAAACTCCCAAAGGGCTGTGCCCGCCCCGTGTCCTGGAGCCCCAGCCTCACAATCTGGGCCAGGAGCCCCCATAGTACCGTCAAAATTGAGGCCCAACAGTGCCTGGGCAGAGGGAGAGAGGCCTGGAGCATGCAGGGGATGGGGTGGGTCGGGGGAAGAGGGGGTGGGCACAGCCCCTAGAAGGCCGAGTGTGACACAGGAACGTGGCTGGGAACAGCCAGATCTTTCCATTGCTCAGGATAAGCCAGAAGCCTCCATTTTATGGGAAATCTTTTGACTTAAATGCTGGTAACAAATTGGAAACAAACAAAAAGAACACTTCATGGCCATATCCGGCATGGGGCTCCAGCCCCAGAGCGATGCTGCAAGGAGTCGGTGCCAGGGAGAACCCATCATCTAAAGAATTCTAAAAGAGGGTCAGGGAGAAATGGGAATTTCTAGAATGGGGAGGGTTCTGGAGACTGCAGGAGACTTCCTGGAGAAGGGACCTCAGAGGCAGTGTCCCAGCCAGCATTCTGGCTGCGGTGTGACCCTGGTCCCTGTCCGACCCGGCGAACCCTGCCCAGGTTCCACGGCAGGTGAGGGACGAGAGGACACACCTGGTCTATCTTCACTGCTGTGGTGCTGGCATCCGTGGGCAGGTTAGACCGTTCCAGGTAAAATGCCCTGAAAGAGAAGAGACGTGTGAGGGTGGGGCCGCCACACCCACCATCCCATCCCCTTCTCCCACCCTGCCCCACCACAGCCGCAGCCTCTGTGCCTCCCAACAACTCCAGGAAACAAATCAGGGAGCGTAGCGGACACAGCTCTCCATGCCCACAGTCAGCTGTTCCTCCAACAGCCCAGGAGGAAGCAGGAAGGGTCCTCAAATGCCACCTCCCCGCACCGCCCACCTGAATCAGCGCCCCACTCCCTCTCCCATGCCGGTGTCTCTCCTCGGACACCAGCATCACTTGACACCTCACACTGCTCTGCGTCCTGGTTCACTGCTCACCTCCCCTTCTAGAACAGCACTCAGCCAACTTCTTCTGTAAAGGGCCAAACAGCTGACATTTTAAGCTGTGTGGACCAGGCTGTCTCTCTAGAGAGGCTACACAGCTCTGCTATTGCAGCGCAAAAGCAGCCATAGACGATACATACATGGATGAACGTGGCTGTGTGCTAATAAAACTTTATTGACAAAACGGGGTGGCGGGGGCCAGGGGCCATGGCTGCTCTAGAATCTACACTCCATGAAGAACAGGCTCTGTTCAGTCACTGCTGACTTCTAAGCAAGCACCCAGAACGGAGCCCGGCCCACGGAAGGTCTCAACTGACAGGTGCTGAAGGAAGGGACGAATGCAGATCACAGAGACCATATTTTAAATATTCAGCAAACGGCAGAGAATAGACCGATGGCATCGATCGATCCAAAGAGATGCCCGTTGTAATAACAGAGGTGAATGTTCTCCCTGCGCAGACAAATGAAAGTGTCGTTCTCCCATTTCCGAACGGTAACGCTAGGCTAGGCCCCCCGTACCACACCCTGACACCCTGATCTCCTGCTTCTCAGTCCTCCTTCTTCATGGAGGGAGAAGTGAGGCGGAAGGAGGAAGGGGCCAGAGTGGGGGCAGCAGGAGTGGGGCTCCTTCCTTGGGCCCAAGGCTTCCTCCTGGTGAATGTGACCCCTACTCCCCTCTTCTCCTTGAGGGCCTCCTCTGAGCAGGGCCAAGGCCCTGGGGTCACACCCCTCACTCACAGGCTCAAGGATTCTAGGGCCCCTGTCACAGCTCCCTCCCCCATGCAGAATGAAACAGGCATCTCCTCCCAGCTGGCAGGACCTGCTATGAAGCCAAGCAGACCCAGTTCAAAGCTCAGCTCAGCCACTCTCTAGCTGTGGTCTTGGGCAAGCTGGGTGTGCTCCCTGGGCCTCAGTTTCCCTCATCTGTAAAATGGGTTAGAAAGACAACCACTGTGAGAATCTGAGGAGCGCGTGTAGGCAGAGGGACTGACACACAGCAGGTGCTCAAGAAAGAGCACTGTGCCCGCCCGGGCACTGGGGGAGCTCTGGTGCCTTCCACGCGAAGGCCCCCTCCAGGTGACAGCGTCCAGGATCCTGGCCCCAACGGGAGACCCACGCCGGTACCTGAGTTTGCGGTAGTACTGCTGAACCTTCTCCAGAGACTGGGCGTTGATCTCCTGCTGCAAATCTTCCGCAGCCTGGCTGCCTGGAGGAGGTGAGCCCTCCATGTTCTCCAGAGCTGTGAAGGGAGATGAGCGAGGCAGGTGCTTGGCTCCCCACGGGCACAGCCGTCCCCCCAAGGGCACCCTGAGGCCCGTCTCCGAGCTCACCTTTCGTGAAGAGCACGGTGTGCAGCCTCAGGCTGGCCCCGCTCTCCAGGCGGGACGGCAGCTTGGAGAAGTGGTAGCTGTCCAGGTAGAGGACGACCTTCAGCGCCTGCCGGCTGCCCTCGATGTGGTAGAAGACATTGGTGTCTGTGGGGAGACATGGTGGGCCGGGGACGCGGCTGTGAGGACAGCTTCAGAAGACCCTCCTTCAGACCCCACTGACGTACCGAGACTCCAGAGCCACAGCCACAGGCCTCCCTGCCCTCCCGCCCGGAGAGGGGCGCCTGAGACAGCCCATCGCCCCATGCTCAGAGGAGCAGCCTCTGACCTCCCTTTCACCTCCCTCAGCAGGTCTGTTCCCACTGCTTAATTCTTAGACCTGACACTGATTCTGTCCAGCTGGGGGGCTGTCCACGTTTGTCTTCAGAGCCTCAGCAAGGCTCCTTGCACCCTCGCCTGGCAGCCCAGCGCCTCCACCGGGCAAGAGCTGCCCTCACACAGCACCTGCATCCTGTATACACCCACAGGGAAGAGCACATGGCAGGGGTGGCCATCCCCGCCTAGACCCTAGCACCCCATCCCGTGCCCGTGAGAGACATCACTAATCAATCGGTAATCCTCTCTGAGCCCAACTTGGCCTCTAGACAGGCAGCCACTGTCAACCAGTTCCAACAGGTACCCAAAACGAAACCCACTGTCCAACTAGACTCCAGTCCACATATTCTCAACAGGGTTATATTGCCTCCAAGAAGGTAAAAACTGGTTCTTATGGGGAAACATTACTCTTTTCATGTATAAAGCACAGACATACATACAATACCTAGACGGATATATAGTATATCCATCATACTAAACTTTCACGGGGGTGTGTGAGTGAAGTCGCTCAGTCGTGTCCGACTCTTTGCGACCCCATGGACTGTACCCTGCCAGGCTCCTCCCTCCATGGGATTTTCCAGGCAAGAGTACTAGAGTGGGTTGCCATTTCCTTCTCGAGGGGATCTCCCTGACCCAGGGATCGAACCTGGGTCTCCTGCACTGTAGGCAGACTCTTTACCATCTGAACCACCAGGGAAGCCCCATGGGGGTGTGTGGCGATTAGCAAAAAATTGTCTAAACATGCTCCTCGGGGAAGTGATAAAAAACAACAATAACAACAACAAAAAAAAAGGACCAGTGGTTCCCAAACTCTGCTGCTGCTGTTCAGTTGCTAAGTCATGTCCAACTCTCTGTGGCCCCACACAGGCTCCTAGGTCCTCCACTAGCTCCCGGAGATGGCTCAAATTCGTGTCCAGGTCCTCAAACGAGCATGCTCCAAAATCCCCAGGAGGGCTTACTAACACACAGACTTCTAGGCTCTGCTTCCAGTTCTGCATTCAGGAGGCCTGGATGGGGCCCAGGATTAGGCTTTCTAACAGTCCTCCAGATGCTGGTCCAGGGATCGCAGAGAACAGTGGCTCTCCGTCCCCGCTGCACATTTAAGTCTCCTGGAAAACTTGGCTAGAATCCCAATGTCCAGGATTCACCCCACAGACTGAATCCGAATCGCCAGGGCTGGCAGTGGGAACAAGCCTCAGTATCTGAAAAGCTCCCTGGGTGATCCCAGTGCAGTCAGGGCTGAGACTGAGCTAGACTGTGAGCTCCACGAGGGCAGAAACCATGGCCACGTCTCTCTCCACTGCAGCCCCAGAACCTAAAACTGAGCCTGACACACAGGATGTGCTCATAATTACAGGTATGTGGATAGATGGATGGGGGGTGGATGAGGGGTGGACAGATGGGGTGAATGGATGCGTGGATGGATGGATGGGTGGATGGATGAGTACATTAATGAATGGATGAGTGGATGGGCAAGCAGAAAGATGGGGGGAGGGAGAGAGAAAGAAAGGAAAGAAGAGAATTATGGTGTCAAGTTCTTAGAAAATCTTAACACATCTTCATTCCAAAGAAGGGTATCTCTAGCAGTTTTCAGTATGAACTGCGTACTGGCTATATTTCCCTCCTAAGTGCTGTTGGAGATGGCTGGGTTTATATGAAACGAGACCCTCTTCTTCCACGTATGTTGGGAGCAGGTGATTTGAAAGCACTGGGTCCCAGGTCAATCTTAGGCAGCTGGCCTGGTGGTGGAGGGAGGGGCAGGGTGACCCCAGAGCAGTCCCTTCCACCCCAGAACCCCGACTCTCTCAGTGGGGGTGGCAAGAATCACTCACTGGCCACATAGTTCTCGTCCAGCTGCTTGAAGGAGAAGGTGACGTTGTCCAGCTCCGAGAGGGTCACCCAGATGTCCTCCAGCATGGTCCGTTCCTCTTTCTGCAGGAGGAAGACAGGGTGGAGGAGTCTCAGATCCCACCCCTGCCCTGGGTTTTATTTCAAGATGCTGCAATTCAACTCCGGTTGACACACCAGGCTGTGGCCCTTCCAGGCAGGAGGTCCCATGCAGGGCTCTCCAGGGCTGGACATGAGATCACGTTCACTCCAGGCCTGTCCCGCCTCTTCTGGGTCAGAGCCCACCTCTGCTCCAATGTGCCGGGTGGGCCTCTTTCCCGAGCCCTCCCACCAATTCCGCTGAACCGTTGCAACCCAGCACCCAGTTCAGAGCCTGCACATCTTGTCGACTGGTGAGTTAACACACTGGGTCCCGGTGACCTCATCTGAGAGGGGGGACGTGAGGGCTGGGTGTTCAGGTCTAGAAATAAGTGAGAAGGGATCTGCCATCAGGCGGGTGCCCGTCTGCAGCATCGGCCAGCAGAGGGAACACCAAGGCCATGCTTTCCCAACCGGCCTGCAGTTGTGACTTCTCCTCCGAACTGGGAAAATGTCTAGGAGGCTCAGAGCTGCAGAAGCCAGGGGAGCTCGGGCCTGGGCATGCGGGTGGAGGAACAAATAGCACAGAGCAGGTTTTTATTCCTGGGGGGCATCAGTTCTAAGTACCAGTACCCCACAATGCTGAGTCACTGGCTCTGCCATGGCCCCCAGAGGCTGTTAGAAGGACCCACCCTAATTCTGAGCCCTGAAAGTAGATAAACAGGGCAACAAGGGATAAAAAGACGCAGAGAAAGCAGATCAGCTGGGCGAACTGGGCTTAGCATCAGACTCCCACAGTTCACACCTGCTCCCTGGGCGTTAAGTGTTCTCATCCTTAAAAAGCGGATATAAAGGACCTGCCTTGGGGCTACTGCAAGGACTAAACCAGAAGCTATTTGCACCAAGGAACTTCGCCTGGATCATCACAGAAGTCTGCTCATGGGTCACCCAGCTTCTGCCCTTACCCCTCCACACTCTTCCCCCCTCCACAGCCCGGGTGATCCTTTAAGTGTCAAAGTGAGATCCTGTTCCTCCTCTGCTCAAAACCCTCCCCTGGCTCCCACCCACTCGGAGGAACAGCCAAAGTCCTACAACAGCCTGCAAGACCTGCACAGTCAGACCCCAGTGGGTTCCCAGGACTCGCCGCCCCTCTCTTGGCTCACTGTTCCAGCCACACTGGGTATCTTGTTTCTCAAACACTATGTGCCTGCTCCAGCCTCAGGGCCTTTGTACCTGCTGTCTTCTCTGCCTGGAGGGCTCCTCCCCAGGGTCCGATGGCTCATCCCCTCCCCTCCTTTGGTTCTCGGGTCAGAGGTCACCTTCTTCGTGAGGCCCCCGGTGGCCACCTTATCACACTTTCAACTGCCACTACCCACAGACCTTCCTGCCCCCTTCTCTGCTTAATTTTTCTCCTTCTCCCTTATCTCTTTAAATGAGGGTTTCTCAACTGCAGCACGACTGACACTTGGGGCCTAGATAATTCTCGGCTGGGGGTTGGGGTGGTTGAGCTTCCTAGAGGAGCAGCCCCCTCTCCCCTGGCCTCTAGGCATCAGACACCAGTACCTCTTCTTCAACCGAAAATGTCTCCAGACATTGCCGCGTGTCCCCTGGGGGCAAAACTGCCCCAGTGAGAACCAGAGGTCTAATACCATCCATGTCCTTAGCTATTTATTTCCATCTCCCCAAAATCAGGACACAAGATTCCCAAGTATAAGAACGCTGTGCTATGTCCAGCGCTGGGTCCCCGGTGCCTAGAACAGGGGCATCCAGCAGGTTCTCAGTAAGCGCTGCTGAATCAATGAACGAGGAGCGTGAGGGCGGAGCGAGCCCCGCCCCCCGGCCCCCCACTCACCACGGCCGGCGAGAGCAGGGACTGGCAGTGCAGGAGGACGCCGGTGGCCGCCACCTGCTCCAGCCACTTGCGGCTGGCGTCCCGGCTGCTCTCCTCGTATTCGCCGTTGTTGTTGTAGCGGTAGCTCAAGGCCGCCAGCAGCTGCTCGGAGAAGGTGCACACAGCGGCCACCAGCGCCTGGCAGAAGATGCCGTCCCGCCGCAGCTGCAGCTCCGTGTCTGCGGGCGGAGGGGGCCGCGCGGGGCCGTCAGCAGGCCGGCACCCCAGAGCCCCGAGCTAGCCCCCACTCCCCGAGCCAGACCACCCATCTGGGCCCAGCTTGCCAAAATTCTCTTCATCCCCTGGCACCAAAAGCCAACCCCATTAAAAACTGACTCTCCAAAAGCAAGCCGATCTGTGGCAAAACTCAACTCTCTCAATGACCCATCTGCCTATTTAAAAAAATAAAACAGGGGCTCCTCTGGTGATGAAGGCTTCGCCTTCCGATGCAGGAGGTGGGGGTTTGATCTGTAGTTGGGGAGCTAAGATTCCACGTGCCTCATGGCCAATAGACCAAAACATCAAACAGAAGCAATGTTGTGACAAATTCAGTAAAAACTTCAGAAAAAAAGTGATCCTCATTAAAAAAAAAAAAAAAAAACCTGTGATTTCCCTAACACTTGCCCCAAACCCCTACCCTCAGCTGTTCCTTTATTTATTAGGAAATGTCTCAGCCTTGACCAAGAATGACAATGATGCCAAGCTCCATGTTCGAAGAAATGCAGTTTACCATTTTCTCTGTTTTTGAGAAATATACCTTCTTCCTAACATCCCTCCCCCCTACCTCCAATTCCTTGGCCCCTGCCTGTGATGTGATTTGCAGAACTGGCCAATTTCGGGCAGTTGGTCATTGAGGGTCCTTAATCTTCAGGAAGGGATTTTTTGTTTTGCTTTTGGCCTGCACCACGCGGCTTACGAGATCTTAGCTCCCCCCAAAAAAAGCTGAACCTGCGCCCTCACAGTGAAAGTGCTGCGTCCTATCCACTGAACCAGGGAATTCCCTGAAAGGGCTTATTTTCAATGACTGGCAACAGCCAACGGATTTTCCGTGCCCAATTTTGACCTAGATCCTATTCTAGCTTCCCCATGGCTGAGAATTTCTGAAAGGATGGACAGAGAACACCTCCAAGATTTCCCTGGGCACCCATCAGCCCCTCTTCCTTCCCACCATCTGCAGGGGCAGGAAGCCCCGGGCTGGGACTGAGGGCTCCACCAGCAGAAAGCCTCTGAAATCATCAGTGCTCTATGCTGGGTCCTCACTGAGATCAGCCCAGGCCTGGGAGGGGACAAGAGAGAATGCTTCAAGCTCCAGGGCCTGAGACTTGTCCCCTGGACACAGGAAGAGGAAATGAGGTCTGAGAAGTTCTCAAGGCGCCAGAGGCCACAGGGCTACCTCCCCCGCAGGCAGGCCCCGAGGACCCTGCAGAAGTCAACGTGGGTCGGCAGGAGAGGCCGCCCCTGGGCTGCGGTCACGAGCGCCAGCTGCTGGGACAGCCTCTACCGGGTATAGCTGGCATGTGCACCCTGCAGACAGTTGCCCTTTCAAAGCCCTCACCTGTGCACTTCAGCAAGGCCAGGAGCAGCTGGTTCTTTCCATCTGGAAGGAGAAGGGACCAAGAAGGGAGATGGGCTGAGTGGAGTAAGCAGAAGATGCCGGCAGAGTCAAGCCTGCCCCCCGGTCCACGTGCTCGGCCCCCCTTGGCAGTGAAGCTCTGGGTACACACAGCCAGGTTCAGGAAGCTTTGAGTGAGTGTTGGGTGGATTCCAGAAACCTCGGACATCCAGGGCGTGAAACCCCAACTGTTAGCTGCACCCCAATTGTTTATACACACCCACTGAACAAAGACTGAAACCAGCCCCTGCAACTCCTGGGCTAGAGCCCCCAGCCCACGCCTCATACCTGCTCATGGGCACACACATGTGGCTGCTCACATAGGTTCACACGCATCCTAAGGTACTTATTCACGTCACCCTACACGGCCAAGCCCTGCCTACATGCAGACGAAACTCAGACCTTCCAGACACAGGCTAACATCCTGGTCTCTTTCCTTCACATAAAGGCTCTTGGGCCCAGAAGGGGCTTAGAAAAACCTGAAAGGCCTTTGGGTCTGGGTTCTCGTGATACATTCTACCCTGGGGAGGCATCAAGAAGCAGGGCTGGTGTGATAGGAACAGCAGCGTCTGCTTATTGAGGACTTACTGTGTGCCAGGCACTGTACCAAGTGCCTTATGGGTACTGACTCATTCACTCCTCACAACAACACATAAGGGAAGGCGCCCTATGAACCCATTCTACAGTGGAGAGACTGAGGCACAGAGACGTCAAGGAACTTGCCAAGATCACACAGCCAGTAAGTGGGAGAGCTGGGGTCCAAGCCCTGACCGTCTGGCTCCAGAGTCCATGCTCTCAACCAATGACAGCTTTGGAAAACAGGACAGCTCAGGGCCAACCCAGACTTCCAACTCAGAGGGGGCTGTTCCTGGGGTCATGAGCCTGGGGCCAAGCACCCCCTGCTATGCTGATCAAATGTCTCCCTGGCCTGGAGTCCTTCTAACCCAGGAGTCTCAGGCTCAGATGCGAAGGGCCAGGCAGGTAACAAAAGGGGCGTGAGCAGACCCTGGACCACAGGGTATGGTGGAGTCCACGTGGACTGGAAGGCTCCCCTCCCCAACCTAAAGATGGATGCCACCATTCATCTCCAAACAAGTGTGAATGGTTGCAAGCCTGTTACTGCCAGATCATCTGATTGTTCAAGAATAGCCAGAACTCTAGACTTGTATGTGGGCTTTCGGATTATAAACATTGGAAGCAGATTCACATTTTTTAATGCTAGAGCATCCAAACCTACCTGTAGGCCCAAGTCTGATAAGGACCCTCTCTCCCCTCAACACACACCTGTAACCTTGATCATAAACACAAGAAACCTAACTAAATCCACAGCTGTGGAAGCTGGGAAGGAACAAGCTCGGCCTCCTCAGCCTCCTGATTCTGCAAGGAAGCCCCGGGCACCCCAGATGAGCAGTTCCCTGACCATGTGTGTGCTGTCCCAGGGCCCTGAGAAAGCAGCACTGCCGCTTCCTGTCCTCTCCCTGGGCCTAGAGAGACGGGGGCACAGAGGTGGACCCACTGCTGACCCTCCCGTGTTCCTCATTAAGAACCGGAGGCCACAAGCCCTCCACGTAACAGCCTTCCCTGCCCGACTGACCTTCCACGTATCTCTGAATGTTGTCCACCAGGGTCTTGATGGAATTGGGGAGGTTCCAGGGGTCCTCCTGAATGCTGATCTGGATCAGGTTTCGGCCACGGATTGTACATTCCTCTTTCTGTTTGAACTCTGGAGCAGGTAGGAGACAAGGAGCTTTGAGAAATGGTGCTACAGAGGCCTCTGTCCCATCACTAGATTCCAAAGCTCAGAATCTTAGGTCAAGGGTGCTGGCGGGAGCCTTGGGTATCATCTGGTCCATGGGAAGGCAAATAGATGGTAAGTGTGCTGCTAATGGATAGTACCGTACCCATGGCAGACATCACTACTCAATCTTAGCACTCCTTTCTGCTAGTCTGAGGATGGGACTCCTCACAGGCGCAACCAATCCAATGCAGAATCACAAATGAATCTCCGTGTTTTCTTCTCCTGAGCCTGAATGCAGTCACAGAAGGATCCTCAGGTCCCGCCCCCTCACAGCCACACCAATCAAGCTGGCACATGAGCTATAACCTAGCGCAATCTTTTTCCTACACAGAGGAGGAAGTCAAGGCACAGAGGGGCGAAAATGGCTTGCCTAAAGTGACTCATCACAGCAGTGACCAAGATGGGACTTGAATCTGACCCCAGACAGGCTGACAGAGGCCTCTGCCCCTTTGGCCTCGTCCCTGCTACAAAGTCTCAAGTCTCTGAAATACTTTATGGTTTCAGCTCCTCTGAGTTTGACATTTCTTCTTTCAGAGGTCCATCCCAGGCAGAGATGACTCTGAGACAGTCAGAGGGGCTCTGCTAGGGCACGCCAACCCCTGACCACTTCTGACCCTCACTTAGAAGCAACTGGTTCTTTATCTCCTGCACCCTACTGGAAATTCCTGGAGGTCAGAGGCAGTGTCTCATTCATCTCACAAGCCCCAGAGCCCACCACAAGGCTGAGCACAAGTTGTTTCTTAGAAATTACTTACTGGATGCATGGATGAGCAGACAGATGGATGGATGCTGGTGGGTGGGTGGATGGATGGATGAATGGGTGGGTGGGTGGGCGGGCAGATGGTGGATGAATGGATGGGTGGGTGGATGGTAGTGGGTCAGTGGGTGGGTAGAGTGGATGGATGGATGGATGGGTAGATAAATGGGTGGGGGGATGGGTAAATGGCTCGATGGTAAACAAGAGGAAAGGCAGGTAGAAAGACATAAATGTTGATTATTTTTCTCTCAATCATTTCAAGAAGAAAGTCTCAATTTGGTGCTGTCAAGTCCTTAACACTTCTTTAACTTGTTAATCCCTCTCATGAATAAACAACAAAGAGCTCTGGACAGACAACAATGCCTAACTACAGTACAAGGACATTTTCATTGTTGGTTCCATTGGACTTATTATTTTATGGCATGTTACGATGATTTTCCACTTACAGGAAGTTTAATAAATTCTTTTCAAAATTAAATTTTTTAAAGGGAGACACTTTTTCAGACAAGATCTATCAATAACAATACAGGCAGCAAATGAATATACTTTAAAAAATGTAAAGATGTCAGTAGATTCTATGAATATGTCTAAAATGATGAAGAGGGTTAGGGGTTTTTGAGGTTTAGAAAACTGTGCTCCAGTCCTTCCCCTTGTGTTATATATGGGCAGACGGAGGCCCGGAAGGGCTCAGGGACCAGCCCAGGGGTCCACACACATTTTCTGTAAAGAGTCAGATAGGATCTGATTTAAGCTTTGCAGGGCATTCGGTTCCTGTCACATGTTTTCTTTTGTTTTGATGACTCACTATAAATGAAAAATCATTCTCAGCTCATAGTCTGTACAAAAACAGGCCGTGGGCCGGATTTGGCCCATGGGCTGAGCTTGCGGACCGCCCCTGGACTGGCCCACAGCCATTCGGCAGCCGAGGGGCAAAGAGGACAGTGTGTGGCCCAGGCAGCCTGCCCCCCGTCCAGCACACGCGCCACATCATAGGAGGCTATGTCCCTGATGGATGCGGGCTGCCGCCCCCCACCCTGGAGGACTCTTCCCCGCTCACCTTGTAAGCTGTGGTCCATGGGGAAATGCTTGGTCTCTTCAAAAGCTCTGCTCATGACTGGCCCCTTCAGGAGTGTGTGGATGGAGTCCACCTGGGCAACAGGAAGCCCCGGGTTAGTCTGGCCCTCAGGGCCCTCCATGAGGCTAGAACCTATGACCTCTGGCCCTTGCCCTGGCTCCTGGCTTCTTACCCCAGGTGATGGGAAGAACTCAAGGTCAGGCCAGGGTTGGGACAAAGATCCTACCTGGTTAAAGAGATGCTCTAGGCAGCCATGAAGCTTGTCCTGCTTGTCTGATGGGATCCTCATGTCACAGGGCAACTCATCCCCTAGCAGAAGGAAGAAACCACAGCCATCAACTATTCCTGCCCCATCGCACACCTTCCCAGCCTCTTTTGCAAGAAGGCAACATAGCTACAGAGCTCCGAAACCCACAGTGGACTTGGAGTCTGATAGATCCAGGTCCCAGCTGTGCGACGCTGCACAAATCACTTGACCTCTTTGAGCCTCAGTTTGTTTATCTGCAAAATGGGCAACAGGAACTAAAACATTACACAACTGTAAGTCACTGTTACTACTTTCACTCTGAAAACAAGTGAAGGAACCAGATCCCACATCTCTCATTCATCCCCCAGCCATTTCATTTAAATTGCCTTCCTAAAACCTCCCCAGGGGTATTTTTTGCAGCTGAATAGCTTCTGTGATGAAATATTTATCCAAAGGTCAGAAATAGCTCTGATATTTCCCGAGCTTCTTTTTCTTCTGCTAAACTGAAGTATAATTTAAATTAAATTTTTATGCACAGACTACCTCCGGAAGGACACACAGGACAGCAGCGACAGTGGGAGCTTGGGAAGCAGGAGGCCGGGAAACAAGAGTGGGAGGGAGTTTGTCACCACCCACCCTCTTTCACGCCTTTCGAATTATGTACCATGTGATTGTCCATCCCATTCACAAAATAAAAATTTTTAAGGCTGAAATCCATGAAAATTAAACAAGTTTCAGTCTCTCAGTAAAAGTTGCAAGTAACATATAATCAAATTTATGTGCTCAGTTGCTCCGTTGCTTCCAACTCTTTTGTAACCCCATGGACTGCAGCCGCCAGGCTCCTCCATGGGATTTTTCAAGCAAGAAGACCGGAGTGGGTTTGCCAGTTCCTCCTCCAGGGGATCTTCCCGACCCAGGGATTGAACCTGTGTCTCCTGAATTGGCAGGCAGATTCTTCACCACTGAGCCACCCTAACTTATAAATTCTTATTTATGTCTGACTGTCCCTCCAGCCATCCACCCGTATTTCTTCATCTCTGTGCAGAAATACATGTTCACCAGTGATCCCCAAATATCCTCAATGGTCACTTCTGTGGGAGAGGTTGAGATTCTGACTTATTTTCCTGTACTTCTTTTATGTTGTGTGAATTTTGGGTTTGAGCACGTGTCATTCCTGGAAACCATCAGGTCGCCCTATTTCAGCAATGCGGGAGCCCTCATCCCATCCGGTAACTGGATCAGGTGTGTTTTCATCTGTTCTGCGTCCACGACATTCACAGAGAACGTGAGCTCTACAGGGGCCTGTCTTTTCAAAATTCACGGCTGTGGTCCCAGCACATAACAGGTGTGCAATAAAGACATGCGAAATGAGCGAAGGAAAACCATTACCATACCGTGCAAAGTAACAGAAAACAAGAGAAGGTGTAGGAAAGCGTAACAAAATAAAAACGAACAAATTACAATCTCATCGGGGACCCCCTCGGCCTCGGCACTCACCGGAGCCCATCTCGTCGCTGCCCAGGTAGGAGCTGTTGCTTCTCACGCTGGTGTAGGACAGGACAGAGTCCCGATTGCTGTTACACTCACTGCAGGGCAGCGGAGAGGAAGGGGTGAGTCAACCCTCCGCCTCCCCACCCACAGCCTCTGGTCCCAGCATCCGGAACCCACTTTCTGGAATGTAGCCAAAACCCTCGGGCAGATGACTGGCCCAGAGAGAGCACTGTTGGCCAACCACCAGTGCCAGAGATGGGGAAGGTTGTCCCCGTGGGTTTCCTGGGTCCCACCCTGGAGAAACATCTCCAGGCCTCGGCATAGAAACACAGCAATGGTAGGCGGACAGTGACTCCTTTTCATTTGGGTGTAATTACCGTCACTCCCCTGGTGGGACAGTCTTGTCCCTAGATACACCTGCACCCCCACACTCGACCACACGGCCTGGCTGGAAGCCTCCTTAGAACAAGGCTGTGTGTGCTTAGCTTGTGACCCAGGAACTCAGAAGGTATGGGGAATCAAAAACCACAACCCTGAAATTCTTTCCTTCACTTTTCTGACTATTAAAGGAAAAACTGGAGGATCCAAAAATGTCAGAACGGAAACCCAGAGAGATAAGATCTTGGTCTGTGGACACAAGGCTCCAAGAACACACAGGAACCAGACAGCCAGACCATCTCATTACACAGACACCAAGAAACACTGGGCCCCTTGAAGACTGAAAGGCTATAAATGCCAGGAGGACAGGGCCCAGGGCCTTACCAAATTCTATCAGTCTTCTTTTTGCCCAAAATCATATGAAGTGTCCCTCCAAGGTTCTAGTTTAACCACAACCATCAGATGTTGGAGAACCTTTTCACTGGAGGCCACAGCACTTGTTTGTTTGTGGTGCAGAATTCCATTCACTCTACGGTTTATTACAGGAAATTGAGTTTTTGGTCGGTTCAACCCACTAATTTAGACTTCACCCATCTTGTTAATAATTAACCAGGGGAAAACACTTCAGATCCTCGAGAGTTAGGAGGGAAAAAAAATGGTCTTACTCCCTGGATCAAGGAAAAACAGTGTTTGCTGCAAAAACCAGAGGCCTAACGTTGATTTTAAAACACACAGATCTTGACTTTTTCTTGGACTACGTTCCTTCAGCGTATGGGGACAGGAATCAAGGCCGAAAGGATCAGTGGTGTCCCCAAGGGGACGGGCCCTGAAACATTCGTCTGGGGGGAGGGAGGCCGAAGAGCATATCCTGGGCGTGCTGTGGGACTCAATAACTCCCCAGAACCACAAGCCACATGGGTAGGCAACAGCACCCTGTCCCACAGCTTCCTGAGAAACATCCTCTGATTCCAACCTTTCCACGGCCAGGGCCTCAACTATGCCTCCACACCAAAACCCACGAGACCCCCGCAAGCCAGGCCTGCCCCCACCTGTAGGAGTCCCGGTAGCTCATGGTGTCGTGACCCGAGTCCTCCTGATCCTCCTCGCACACCTTGAAGCACACCTTCTTGCTGCCGCCGTGGTCGGTCCTGTCCATCTCGCTCTCTTCGCTGACCAGCGGTGGGGAGGAGGCCTCCTCGGCCAAGGCGGGGTCACAGGACCCACTGGAGGTGGGCTCTGTGATGGTGGACAACAGCCTGTGGGAGCAAAGACTTTGAACTTCAAGACACAAAAGCCCCGGGTCATTTGCCACCTAGAACTGCCCACCTCCTGAACTGAGCCAATGTCATCCCTGAGGTAGCATTTCAGCCTCCCTTATACCCCGCATCATCTAGCCAGCCTGGAACTCGGATCAGAGAATTATGCGACTTGTGTTGGTGAGAACGCTTTGTAGGTGGTGCCGTGTGTATGGCCTGCTGCACGGCACCAAAAGGGCCATCATGTCCAGTCGGCTTTCTCTCTCTGCAGTGCTGAAATAATAAAGATCCCCCCAAACCTTTCACCGATAGTTTCAGCCTCTACTGACGATGCTGCCTACATCCATCCTTCTATTAGAGCAGCAGTTCTCAGTCAGGATGATTCTGCCCCCAGAAAGCATCTGACAACATCTGAAGACATCTCAGGCTATCAGAACTAGGGAAGGGAGTGCTACTGGTATCTGGTGGGTAGACACAGGGGATACCACTAATAACCACTAATGGACAGGACACCCCCCCCCCAAAGAATAATCCTACTCAAAATGTTGATGCCGCAGATGCTGGGAAATCCTGACCCTGACACAGGGCTCACCTGTTGATCTGAGTGACATATTGCTTCATCTCCTTCAAGGCCACATCCAGTTTGGTAAAGAGCTGCAGGTAGGCATCCTGGATCTCACGGTCCTCCTGCTTGAGTAGGAAACTCAGGCCTCGGTCCTCCTGGCCAAGGGCTCCATTGGCTGGCCCAAAGCTGCTGTCGTTGGGACCCTGACGTTGTGGGTCCCCATCCGCAGCAGGCAGGCACTTCCAGGATGGGGCAGCCATGGTGGTGATGCAGTGTTGGGTATAGGACATGGGGTTCAGGTGACCTACGGTAGGGAGCAAAAGCTCACAAACCCATTTTAAGGATCCCAGTAAATGAAAAAAAGATTTCCGTTTAAAATACTCTTTTAATACATTAAACTGTTTCAATAAGAAAGTTTCAGTTTGGTGCCAATACTCTCTTAACTACTGTGATCATTTTCCTGCCTGGAATGTAGACATGATGGCTGGTGCTCCAGCAGCCATTTTATACCATGAGGCATCTTTCAGGATAAAAGCAACATTTAGAGATGGTGGCATAGAAAGATAGGAGTCTGGATCCCTGATGACCATACAGCCACCATCCCAGCTCTAGGCTGTTGGCCTTCAGACATGCTTCTATTTAAGTACTGTAGTGTGAGATCTGAACACACTTTTGACAGACACGCGCAGTTACCTTGTTCTGGGTCGAGGCCGATGAGGGAGGGTTTGCGACCAAAGCGGATGCTGAAGGACCTCCCGACCGAGGGCGTGGTCTTGGGGTAGGATACTTCCATGAGGTTGACGTGGCAATTGGTGGGGCAAAAGTCCAGGCCACACAGCGGATGGGGTTCCAGGGGTGCTTGTTTGAAGGGTGGGCTGATCCTGCTCTTTAGCTCAGCTGCAAACTGGGAAAGGAGGGGGGCATGGGTTGTGATTTAGGGTTCTGGGAATTCTGGCACACCTCCAGTACCCACTTTATCCTAGCCGAGGCCAGACATTCCAAAATTGGAAAAAATGCTGGTAAGTCCAAATGGGAAAGTAAATTCCCCTGCACTGCCTTTCACTGGACCCAGATTTCAGGGAACTCCTGGAGGAATGTGAGGCTTCCAAGCACCTACCCACCTACATGTCTCCATTTTAGCTGCACCTGAGGTGTCCTGGGGGAACATCTCTCCCTGACCCAGCACCTGTGAGGTTCAAGTAAGGTTGCCTCCCCATTCCTGCAGAACTTGTACAGGCCTAGGCAGGGGACCCAGGCCAAGCCAAGGAGAGCTCTCACAGCATTCTATTTCTGCTGGGGTTGCTAAGGCTAAAGCTACTGGGGGCCATTTTATTACCGCATGAGAAAGGGCCTACCTGAAAAAGCAAAGCCAATAAGGAAAACAAAGTCAAGAGAAGAGAGGTCCTGTTCTTGGAACAGTGTGGTATCTGTCTGAGTGCTGGATACGACCATGCCTGAAGCTTACTATGGATGTTTCAGTAATATAAACCAGCTAATTATCCTGTCTGTTTAAGCTAAGTTGGGTTGGGATTTGACATTTACAACTGAGACACCCCAAGTTGAGACCCTGTAGGGTGCAGGCACCTCCTGGTAGCAGGCGATCCTCTGGCCGATGCTCTCCAGCTTGGTGTCACAGATGTTGCGGAACTCGAAGTGGGACATGGTCCTCATGTTGCTGCTTAGGGCCATGAGCCGCCCACAGTTCTGCACAAAGACACTGTCATCGGCAGCAAAGGCCTCAAGGATCTGCGGAAATATTAACAGCTACTGAGTACTCACTGGGCACCTGGCAGAGTCTTAGGGAGTTTATCTTGGGTGACTGCTATATGCCTTGTAATACCCGTATAGGTCAGGTCTACTATTGGCCCACTTAACAGATGAGCAAACTGAGGCTAAGAGAGAAGAAGTCAGTCTCCTAAGCCCCACAGCTACCAAGTGGAGGGGCAGGGATTAGGACCGAGGTTCCCCAGGCGGACTTGGAGGACGTGGGGATCAGGCTGCTCCACCCCCCGGGGCGGGGCCACGCCCAGCAAGACCTTGGCAGTGAGGCTGAAGCAGCCGCGGGGCTCCACCATCTTCTCCAGCACGTGGCACTTGATGCCCGCGGTGCTGACGTACTCATACACCACACCATGCTCCAGGTGCACGTTGTCTACTGTCAGGCTGACCAAAGGGCTGTCCTCGTGCTGGCTCGGCTGGGGGCCCAGGGACATTAGGGGGAAGGCTGGAAGCCAGAGGGACAGGTGACTCTGAGGAGGGGCCACACCAAGCCAGCCCCCGACCCAGCACCGCGGACACCCTGTGTTAAGACAGACGGGGAGACTGAAACCTGAGCTGCAGCTCTTTTCACTTTTGCCAGCCCACTATCACTCACTTCTTACTCTAAAAGACTCTCCTTTCAGGAATCAAGCCTTGAGTCTCATTCACAGTTTCTGGGGCTCAGAAAAGGAGACTCATTTGCCATCCACACCCTCCCCCAGAGGCAAAGGCCTGGCCATTCAGCATGTTTGATTTCCTCTATTCACAGTGACTGGTTCAGGAACAAGCATGTGACCCAAGCTGAGTCCATGAGAGTGAGATCTCTTTGGATCTACAAAGAGAAGGAGACATTCTCTTTTTCAACTGGATTTCAAGTTACCAAAGCCACTAGGTGGAGAAAACAGCATGTGAGAGGGAAACCAACACAGAGGGAGCAGAGCTGAGAACTGGAGAAAAAGAAGGCCTCCTCAGTAATGAAATGCTGGATCAAGCCAGACCTGAAGCTTGTTAACCCTACTCAGCCTTTTTAGTTTGCTGAGCCCATGTTTTTATGGAGCCCAGTTTCAGTCCAGATTAACAAGGTCCCAGAGAGACTGTGACTCCTTAGAGGTCACACATCTAGGCAGTGCCATATCTAGGAAGAAAGCAAGCATTTTATGGCCTGAAGTGTTTCCCTTGCCACCTGCTCCAAAGAGTACCTCTCAACACACACACTGTCGCCCTTTCCCCCTCACCCTCCATGCTACATCACCGATTATCAATTCTTCTGTTCTTTCGTTCATCGTCTGGCTCCCCTCATGTCCGCGCCCTAAGGGCAGAGACCTGGTCTGCTTTGTTCACGCCTGTTTCCCCAGCTCCTTGAACACGACCTGGCACATAGTAGGTGCTTCTACTTATTGAATGGAAGTTTCAAAGCCACCAGCTCTTGCCAGCGTGGTTTACCGTCGTCATCTCTGGGGTCACCCACGTTTTGCACGGCCCTGTGCTCTCAGAGGGGCATAAACTGAGCTCGGAGCTGGCCTCCGGTCTCTCCATCTTCCCATCGACCTGTCTCCTTTAGGGCCCCTCTCTCAGGCTGTGGGTGTTTCAGCAGCAGAAGAACAGCTCCCTGAGGGCAGGGATTTTTTTGGTTTAATCCTTACTGTATCCTCCGAACTTAGAACTGAGCCTGGCACATAGTAGGTGCCAACTAGATGCTTGGAGTCTGACTAATAGCTCCTCCTCTCCAGTTGCTTCTGTGGTCTGCTGGGCTAGGGGCAGGAGGAGACGTGGGAAGACCAGCGGCTTTCGATGCCTTGGTGTCTGACAGCTCTGGGCTCCATGCTGGTGACTTTGGGGTCAACAAAGAGGCAGGGTTTACAGGGCTGGCTGGGAGCTGCTTCTCTGAAACAGGCAAGTGAAGAGCCACAGAAGGGAATGCAGGCCTGCCGACACCTTGATCAGAGCCCAGGGAGACGCCTTTCGGACTTGTGTCCTCCAGAACTGTAATGTAGCAAATGCGTGTGGTTTTAAACCACCAGGTTCCCAGTACTTTGTTACGGCAGCGATCAGAGACTCATACAGAGCTGACAGCATCGAGAAGGACTGGACAGGACTGGGAGGAATGTGGACACAGAGGACCCGGTCCCCACGAGCGTCTCTGTCTCACGGCCTGCCTGTCCCGTTACCCGAGTTGAGCTGGTCTTCCTCTCGGGCCCCCTCGCCACTGGGGTCCTCGCCAGCAGCCTCCCGGGCCTCCTGCGCATCCTCATGGGTGCGGTAGATCCACTGGTACAGGCCCTGTGTGGGGAGCAGAGTAAGAGGGGCGGCAGCGAGGCCAGGAGCCCAGGTGCATGCTGTCCGGACTCCAAAGCTCAGGGTTTCAGCCTGTCGGCGACACCACCTTCAGAGAGCCCTCCCAGACTTCACCCTGGAAACTTCCTGAGGGACCTCCAGTCACACTTGGCCCTCACTGACCACAGTCTACGCTCCTCACAGAGGCCAGGGAAGGGGGAGCCACTGAAAACCTAAGTCAGCTTCATGGGAGCAGAAAGCTTGTCTCTCCTGTGGCCCCAGGGTATAGAAACATGCCAGGCACACAGCAGGTGCACAAGAAACGCTTATTAAATAAACCAATGAACCATGGTACACAGAACCCTGGGTCCCCAACCCAAGTATAACATCAATTTCTTATCATCAATGTGACTAGTTGCCCAACGTGCCTACGTGGTAAGAAAAGAGGGTCTTATCACACCCATTTCACAGCTGTAGAAACTGAGGCCGTGAGGTTTAGGGAAGCAGAGGGGTCCCAGAGCCCAAGCCCAGCTCAGCCCTCAGGTCGGCATCCCCACCCCACGCAGAACCCTGCGGTGCCTGCAGGCTTTTCCCCAGAGAAGGGAGGGTGTCCTCAGCCTCCACCCCAGCGAGCAGGGCTTCCCTGATTCCCTTGGCTGTCAGGTGGCTCACCAGGGCCTCTTCTTGGCGGCTCCGGAATGCCTGAAAGTGCTCCAGGACCTCTGAGGCTCCGTCATTCATCACATTGCTGCCGTTGACCTTCAGGATGCACTGGCCAGCACAGAGGCCTGCAGCCGCAGCCTCGGAGCCTAAAGGGGACAGGAGCGCTTGAGGCCAGATACCAGGCGATGACAGGTTGGGGTGGTATCAGGCAAGGGCGAGTAACCAGATGAACCTGTTCCCCACCCCACACCAAATGCCACCTCCATCCTCCCACCCTGCAGCCACTCTCCACCCCACGCCAAGAGGCAGGACAGACACTGTCATTCCCATTTGGCAGAAGAAGAGACCGCGGCTCAGAGAAGTAGGTGAGCCCACGGTCATGCGGCAAGGGAGGCTGGCCTTGAACCCAGGCACATTTCACTCCTTTGCACGTGTGCTTGCTACTCACTTCAGTAGCTGACTCTGCAACCCCGTGGACTGTAGCCTGCCAGGCACCTCTGTCCATGGGATTCCCCAGGCAAGAATACTGGAGTGGGTGGCCATGCCCTCCTCCAGGGGGTCTTCCTGACTCAGTGATCGAACCCGCATCTCCTGCAGCTCCCGCACTGCAGGCGGATTCTTCACCGCTGAGCCACCAGGGAAGCCCTCTTCTCCTTTAAGTCCCACAACAACCCCATGATACTGGAGCCAGGATCAGCCCCATTTTGCAGACAGAGAAACAGAGGCTCAGAGAGGCAAAGTGGCTCTCTCAAGGTCACGTGTCTAGGAGAAGCCAGGTTTCAAACCCAGGTCTACCAGGCTCCAAGGGCATGCTTTCTCAGCTGTCCCATGACTCTCAAACTGCCACATTCCTGCCTGGCAATAAGGAGCTGGAGCTGAAGAAACACTGCCCTGTTTTGAGTGAATGTGCATGTTTCTCACTTTGCCACAGTCCTCACCACTTCCTAGTGCTTCCTTTCAGGTGCCCATGTGTAGCTGCCTGACCCCCACAGGCATGCATATTTACAAGCCTTGACTTCCAGCAAAGAAGGTAAGTGCTCTAAGAGGCACGGGCCTAGAGGTGACTGTTTGGGCGGGCGCCTCTGAACTCCTTCTACAAACACAACAGACCGGCCTCCCAAAGCCCCACTCCACGTCTCTTGGGCTCCCACTCACCTCTCCCCACTGCATAGACATACGGCGGGGCTGCTCCCCGGATCTGGAAGCACAGGGCCTCTGGATGGTCGGGGACTTTGACGATCCTGCACGGAACAGAAGCTGCCATGAGGTACAGCAGTCACTCCCGAAAGGCAGCCCAGGGGGCCACCGGGGGAGCCCCTGCCTCCCGGGCTTTTGGGAAATCCAGCCCCAGACAGCAGCAGCACCAGACTTTCCAAATGCACAGAGAAACCTCACTCAACCAGAGCGCACAGAACAGGCTCTGGGATTCACTGGAACCAGCCAACCCGCCCTCAGAAAGTCTGTCCATGCACACTCCTAACCCTTCTCTGTCATCCTCTGCGTGAGAAGAGGCCTCGTGGCCACCAGACCAGCATATTGGCCAGTGTATATATTTTATTCAATAATCACTGACTTGGAGAGTGACAAGTGACCCCCAGCACATCTGGGTGCTGACTCTAAAAAAATGTCCACGTATCCCCCAGAGATCATGATTTGAAAGCCCAGACGACCCAGCCACTCTATGGGTGGATCATCAGGGCAGAGTGGGCAGCCCGTGCCCAGAGTCATTATTAATCCAGGGGCTTCAATGTAGCCATCAGCTTCCTTGTCTAAGGCATGTCTCCCACATTAGGCCTTGGACCGTCCCTACCTGCCATAAAAAGCCATCTTGGGAGCCTGTTCTCAAACCCCAGGTATTTCTGGAACTTGAAGCTGGCATGTTCCACCATGGTGATTTCTCCTACTTCTACATACCAATCAAACCATCAATCATGTCCCCAAAACTGACAAGCCTTTTAACTGAAAGAATCCTATTTAAAACTTTCTATCACTCCTGTCAACAGAAAACCAGGAGCATCTGCCCTAAATAGAAGGGAGAAGCGAAAAGCAAATGTGCAGGATTTAAAATAGAAAATGCTCCTCCAGGTGCCTATATCTGGTACCCGACCACTTCTCACCACGCCCATCACGGCTGGGCGGGGCCGGCCGGCAGCCTCCTCTCCACACTTCCGGCTTCCGCCCCGCCCTGACAATCTAGGCTCCACCTGCAGCCAGGGAGATGCTGCGGGACCCCACGTCAGATCACGCGGCCCCTCTACTCAGAACCTTCTGGCAGCTCCACGATCCTTACTGGGCACAGGTCCCAGAGGGCCTGGCCTCTACTTCTGACCGATGCCAGTGACCACCCTGTTCCAGCCCCATCAGCTGCCTCACTGTTGCTCAAAGGCACCAGCCCCAGTGCCGCCCCGGGGGCCCTCGCTGTTTCCTCTGCCGGGAACCGCCCTCCTCCAGATGTCCCCCGACCCCCACCCTCACCCCCTTCAGGTCTTCACCTCCATCCTCAGGGGCATCTCCCTGACCACCACTCCTCCACACAGCCCCTCTCCTGTCCCAGCTTTATAGTGGGTTGGCCAAAATGTTCGTCCGGATTTTCCTATAAGATGTGATGCAAAAACCAGAATGGTTTATGGCCAACCCAATATATTAGTCCACACTCACTACCTCCTGGTACACCTCTCCCTTTTCTGCTTGATTTTGTCCGTCTCCTGCTCTAGCCTCCAATCAGACCGAGTTCTGCGGGGGCAGTAATGGATCTATGCAGACGGGCCTGGGTCCCCAGAGCCTGAAACACCAGCGGGCACACAGCAGGCACCCAGTAAGCTCCTGTCGACTGAACGGAGCCAGCAGCACCTTGTCACGTGCCTGCAGAAGGACCCCCCCCCCAGCCGCAGGGACCCGGGTCAGCCAGGCACCCCACCACCACCATCCCCCCGGGACCCAGGCAACTCCTCATCCTGAGAGGAAGGCCACCAGACAGCCCGTGCCTGGGGACACTCACTCTTTGGCCTTGGTGGCGACCAGGAGACGCAGCGGGCGGCGGGAGCAGAAAGACTGGTTGAGGATGGACTCCACCTCAGCCAGGGGCCGCAGGAACACCAGGTCCTCGTTGATGGAGTAGATCTTCCTCCCCACCTGCAGGCCGGCCATCTGGGCGGGGGTGGCAAGGGAGACCAGCATAGCAGGTAACTGATCCCGTCTCCTTCTCACTAAGGAGCTGCTCAATTCAGGGGTACAGAGTCACCAGCCCCAGGGACCAAGTAGGACCCGAGTGAGACCCCCCCGCCGCCAGGGCAACCCCGCTGCCCTCTGTGGTAAACAGTGAGGCAGGCTGGCGAGACCCATGCGGGCCAACGAGCTATGAGGGGAGGCCTGTGGGGGCCGCTAACAGCAAAGACATCTTCCCTGAGAAGAAGCTTCCAGCCCGCCCCTGCTTCCTGCCCGGCTCTGCAAGGACACGAGGCATCGACCTGGGGTGGCCACCTTGTGACCACGAGGCTTTGGCCAGGAAAGGTGGAGAGATGTCAACCCTGAACCAAGACTTATAACCACCTCCTTCTAAACTGCTTACGTCATAAGGAAACCGCAGCCCCGCGGCTCCGGCCACTGTCAAGCCCAGCCTGCGGCTACTACACACAGCCAAACGCCTTGCTGATCGCTACAAGGAAGCAAGCAGAGCCCCCTGGAAAAAGTGGCCAGCGCCTCTCTCCCAGCCGTCTGCACACCCCCCTCTCTCCCAGCTAAGAAGCCCTGGGGCTGAAGCCTTGGCCTCCCTCCTCCAGACCTGTATCCATCTCGGAACACCCGCCCTACTCAGGCGGGTGACCGTTAGTTTTTCTATAATCAGCTGATTCAGAAACCCAGGTGGTTTTTTTTCATCTGGCTCCCATAGGGCCAGCAGGGGGAGCTGGTGGTACACGCTGGGAGGGCAACCTGGCTTCCGGGGGCTCCATCACTAGTTCCCAGAGACTCGGACTCAGTTTCCCCAGGAGGGCAAGGAGCAAGGAGGAACCACTGCCCTTCCAGGGCTTTCTGAGCTGGAGGAGGGGTGCCCCACTCTCCTGTCTGTACGCAGTCCAGGGGGCCAGGGGGGCCCCTCTGAGCCGCCTCACCTCCGCCAGCGAGCCCCTCTGGACTGACTTCACCACCACAGCCTTGTTCTTCTCTTCAATGTCGAAGCCGTAGTCTTCCTCCTGGGGCAGGATCTGGGGGTTCGAGGCAGGAGAGGTGGTGAGACAGGGAGGGGGGCCTAGAGCCTGCCCCAGCTTGGCCCCCACGGGGGGTGGATTGGAGGGGACCAGGACCCAGCCAGCTCCTCCTGTCCCAGATCTGCTCAGGGTGAGGCTGGGAGTGGGGTGACCACGTATTCATTTAGCTTTCTTGGCCTGTCTCCCCTTTCCTCCTCCCAACCTGAGAACAGAGCCTCCTTATTTATTATGCTCCACTGTCTCCCCAGCTGCGGTCATACTGCAGGTGCTCAATAACAACTTACTGGCTTAATGAAATAAATCAGACCCCGAAGTGTCCTGCCACCAAGAACTTAGGGACAGGAAGGGGGTTTAGGGAGGAGCCGCCCCTCCCCATCGCAGAGGTTTCGGGGATCCGTGCTGGTGGGGATATAGAGAAATGCATTTATTTGCTCAGTACATATTTTGCTGAGCTGTTGCCTATTATATGGGCCAGGTACTTCACTGTTCTGGGAACATCACCAAACAAGACAAATGGTTTCTGCCCTCATGGAGCTGTCTGTCTCGTGGGAGAGACAGACTGCAAACAAACAAAGAGATAAAGAATGTAGTGCTGGGGTGTTATGTACTTTGAATTAAAATAAAGCACTTAAAGGGACAGAACGCGGCACAGAGCAGGGCCAGGGGAGGGGATGTCTGCGCTGAGATCTGAATGAAATGAGGGACAGAAGTTTATAAAGAGTGGAGGGCACAGCAGGTGCCAGGGCCCTGAGTCAGGCCCCAGAGTACTGGAGGGTAAGACGGAAGATCTGAGTGGCTGGGCTACGTGGGGCGAGGAAGGGGAGAACACGGGAGAGGAAGAAAAAGAGGCAGGAAGGTTTGTCCTAAGTGTGGTGTGGAGCACTTGAGGGCTCTGTGGCAGGAGAAACGGACGTGCCCAGAGCCCTGCACATTGGGCAGGCTTCAGCCCCAACTCTGGCTTATGCTAAGAGACCCAGCCTCTCTGAGCCTCTCTCCCTGTTGCCTGCTGTGGGCCAGGCCTCAAGGTGGAGGCTGCGGCCCACCAGGAGGCACAGAACAGGATGTGGTGGGCGAGGCTGGTAAAACACCTGACCAGGCTGGTAAATGCCCTGCCTTAACTGCAAGGCCAGTCACAGCAACTGAACAAGGGCGCCGGCCCAGAAGACCCAAGGCTTTGGTGTGAGAGGGGTCATTTCAGGAGGTCATCCTCTGTGCAAAGGCTAGGCTGGGGGTGGGGTGGACAAGAGGAGGGGGAAAGACAAAGGGAGCCCAGCGAGCCAAGTCTCCTCTGTCGGGAGGGTGGTCTGGCGAGGAAAGTGGCCTGGCGTCTGGGCGGTGTTGCCAGCCACCGCCTAAAATCCCCCCTTACTTCTGGGCACCCCTGGGTGAGCCCAACTTCCCCAGCCACAACCTGAAGGCTGCCCGGGCCTGGGAAGGAAGATGCAGCGAGCTCGGCGCTGCTCCTACCAGCAGGCGCTTGGCCAGGATATTCTCTGCCAGCTTGAAGTCGCTGCGCAGCTGTCTGTTCTTGCCGCTGGTCCCCTCCATCTCCTCGTCCGCGTGGAAGCGGAAGTACTGCGACTCGTCCTTGAATTCGCTCTTCTCCAGCACTGCAAACCCACAGAAACAGGGTCAGGCCCACACGGGGAGCCCGCAGCGGCATCTGACGACCGGCAGGCATGGGCCAGGACCAGCCCCTGGACAAGCCTGGGTTGGCCAGCATGGTGTTCTAGTAAGTAAAGTCCTGTGCCAAAACTAACACATTAGGATAGTTCACATAAAAGCCTGGCTTTCCGACTCTCGTGGAAATTCTGAACTCATCCCACCTGCTTATATAAAGGCATGTTACAAAGCCATGCAAGGTACAAAGCTGCGGAACCACAGCAGAAATAAAGAACCAGTGGAAGAGAATAGCTATCACATAACAGGACACTGTTTTATGGGAACTTAGCATATGATGGATGACGAACAACCACGTGGAGTATTCCATAGATGGTACGGGGAAAACTGATTCACTTACAGGAAAAAATAAAATCAGATCCCTACCTCACACCATATATAACAATAAACTCCTGTTGAATCAAAGACCTAAATAAGAACAGGAAAACTAAAGCTCACCAAACGAAATGCAGGCAAGTGTCTTTGTCTTAAAACAGAAAAGGAGTTCATATACAAGACCCCCCCAAAAGCAGTATGATAAAATTAAGGACTTCCATTCAATAGCAAGGCCACAGGCAGGCCACAGATTCAAAATTAACTATATGGTCTAAAATCAACAAAGGAGAAATCTTGGGAAACTCCAGCAAATCAACCAGAGAAAGCTGGGAAACTCATAGATAAATGGGTAAAGGATATAAATAAGTAATTAACAAATGGGAAAACCTAAGAGAATGGTAAGTGCCAAGTACATGGAAAAGAACTCACCCTCACTAATAATCAGAAACAGACCACAGTGAGACACTTTAGGCCAGGAAATGGTACACTCGGTCCCTGTGGGCCAAATGTGGCTCACTCCCGCTTTTTATAAATAAAGTTTTATTGGAACACAGTCACACCCATTTATTTATATATTGTCTGGGGCTGCTCTGGGGTCACAATGACAAAGTTAAATAACTGCAGAAGACTGTATGGTCCACAAAACCTGAGACATGTACTATCCGGGTCCTTACAGAAAAAGTCTTCAGACCTCTAAGACTAGGCAGGAAAGTGAGTAAAAAGAACCAGTAACAGGGGCTTCCCTGGCGGTCCAGTGGTTAAGACTCTGCACTTCCCCTGCAGGGGATGTGAGTTTGATCCCTGGTCAGGGAACTAAGATCCCCTATACTGTGTGACTGAAAAATATTAAAACAAAAGCAGAAAAAAGAACCTGGTAACAATCAGCATGTGATGTGGTCTCTGTGGATTACAATTTAACTAAATACCTTCTAGTGCAGAGCACACCCGTGATATAGGCTCAAGTTCATTTACTCCGCAGACAAAGGAGCGCCTGCTATACCCCTTTTAAAGACAGGAAGACTAAGGCCCAGAGGCGCTAAATAAACTCCAAGGTCACAGAGCCCAGGCTCCTCCTCTTCATCATACTGCCCAGCCTGGCCTGACAGATGGGCACGGGGACAAACTCCATAAGGGGGAGAGGTCGAGGCAGTCGTCTAAGGTCAGTGGGCCCGGGAAAGGACAAGCAGCTGCCTTAGCTTCAGGCCTCCCTGAAGGCCTGTGAGGACACGAAAAGCATCAAGAAGCCTTCCTTTCTGCCTCCTTCCCCTCCCAGGACAGCTAGCTGTTTGTAAGCATGGCTCGCAGGCCACCTCTATTACCTCCTTGGAGAGAACAGACGCTCAAATTGCTGCTTTCCCCAGAGCTGGGAGCCAGGCCCCAGGAGGCCGGCTGGCTCCCCCTCCACTGTAAACACGAGGCTACAGGACTCGGGAGAGGGAGGAGGAGCGCCGTGTTGTGTCTTATGTCTCAGCTGAAACATCTGGGGAAACAGCTGGAATCCCGGAGTCCAGGAGCTCGGCCAGGTGACGGCCGACCACTCCCAACATCCAGCCAAGGCCACTGGCCAGGCTTCGTGAGATGCGGGCACAGACCATCACTGAAAGCCTTGGTCAGTTCCCCTCGCCCCCAAGCTCAAGGCCGTTTAGCCTCTCTGAGCCTCAGTTTCCTCATCTGTAGGGATAACAACCAACGTCCCCGAGCGGCCACAAAGATTAAACCATGAGCCTCAGTTTCCCTGTCTGCACCTACAGCAAGGGGGCTGGACCACTGCCCCTGGGTCTCTCCCCGGGGACACCCCAGGGTCCCACGAGCCCAGGTCAGACACCCTGGGAGGCGCCAGGCAGGCCCCACCACGCCCTCCACCCGCCACCCTAACCTGCATTTTGCAGCAGCCGCCACCCTAGGATTGGCCCTTTCCTCTTTTAGCCTGGTCTGGAGTTTGTGGCAGGCAGAGGGGACCAAGGGCGGCACCCTGCAATTTCTCTCCCCGAGCGCCCCCGAGGGTGTCGGCGCTGCCCCGGGTCACCCCCAGCAGAAGGTCCTCAGACAGCCGCCTTCCTGAAATAGCCGCTGGGGTGGACCCCTAATTACTCTCACCCACAAATGAGAGGTTCTGCCCAGCTGACGGGAGGGAGGGATGGGGCTCAGAGAGATCCCTGCAGGAACAGTCTGGGTTTCAGGAATGACCTGGGCTGCCCTGGCTGGGCCCAACATGCCCCTCTCAGCTGTGGAGTGAGCCCCAACCACCCAGAGCTGTCAGAATGCTGAGCTCAGGTGGGGAGGGAAAGATGGGGAAGATGAGGCTGAGAGGAGCGGGCTTTGCTGTCAGCAAGCTGAGTCGGGCCCAGAACCAGGCCTGCTGGCTCCAAGGCAGAGGGCAAACCAGATGGCCTTTCACCTCACAGGGCAAAGGGACACCAAATCCAGCTCCTGGACCAAGTGTAGAAAGCTGTGGCCCCCAGCTTGCTTTTCTAAATAAAGTTTTATTGGCTAAATGCCATGCCCACAAGTTTACGCATCCCCTGTAGCCGCTCTCAGACTACAGGGGCAGAGCTGGGCTGTGGCAGAGACTGTGCGGCCTGCAAGAACTAAGACGTTTACTGTCTGGCCGTCTACAGGCAGAGTCTGCCGACCTCTGAGGGGTGCACAGAGCAGACGCTGGGAGGATTTCGGGCCGCTCCTCCTCCCAGCGTGGCTTCAGCTTATTTCACGGTTGCGTGACTTGCACACACGCACACATGAGGACAGGACTTGTCTTTCTTGTTCACCTCTGGTCCCCAGAGCCTCGCATGGTGACCACAGGCAAAAGGCTACGGATGACCAAAGAGAGAGGGGACGTGTGGACTCAGCCTCACGGGGACAGAACGGTCCCAGGAAAAAAAGTGAATCTGAGCTGGTCCAGAGCGGGAGGCAGGAGAGGACCTCTCCGAGCTGGGCGGGGGGCCTCAGAACTGAGCAGAAACACTGACAAGTCAGGGGAGGAGGCAGGGAGGGAGGGGGCCCCTGCACAAGGGAAACGCTGCACGTGACAAGGCCCTGAGGTTGTTCTGGAGACCAGAGAAAGGCTCTCTGCTGGGGGAGGGCGGGGTTAAAAGTCCACTGATCCTAAAAAAGTGGGAACCTGGGGGCTCCCCCAGGACCAGAGCTCCCTGGAGGCCTGTAACGCCACCCTGCCTGGGTCCAAACCCCAGCCCCTCCTGCACAAGTGTCCTAACTGCCTGGGCTTCTGGCCCTCGTTTATACACGGGCATGTTTTCCATACCAACATCAAAGGACCAGCACAAGGATTAAACTAATCACTACATGCAGAGTTCTTAGGGAAGCCGGGCCCAGGGTATAATCTCTCTGTTATCTTAAAGCGGTGTCAGTGGAGCCATTTCTCCCTCCCCAGGACCATCTCACACTGTTCACCCGCCTCCCCTCCGACACACTTCTCCCTGCAGGAGGAGGAGGGATGTGTCTGAGGAGCGAGGCCCCGCCTGGCTTCCTCCCTCTCACGCTCACAGCCCGGCCATCCTTTGTCCCCGCGGACCCCTCTCCTCCTCTCCCAGGAGGCCCACGGACCAGGCCCACTTCACCCAGCCTCGCTACCCACCCTGGGAGGCCATCTCCCACCCAGGAGTAAAGGCTTGGGAAGCCCATGGATTTTACCAGCCACCTCGGTCCCCACTAGACACCTGAAGTGGTCTCCGCATCAGTGCAGAACTGGGAATGGAGGAGGAGGGGAATTCATGAGCCGGCCCAAAGCCACAGCAGTCCATAGGCCCACAGACCCGGCATCCACACCCACTGCCTTGCTGGGCAGCTGGCCAGTCTACCACTTGCTGTCTCTGGGCCTGTTTCCCATCACTGAAACGTGCACCAGGGACCAGGGTCCCTGCCAGCAATTCGGTCTCAGGACAGACCCCTACCCTACCCCCTGGGGAGGCTGGGCTGAGGGGAGGGCTGGATTACCGTGATGCATGAAGCCATTGTTACACAGCCCCACGCCAAGCGCCACCGCCTCCTCACGTGTCTGGCAATCACCCTGGAACAGAACGAGAAGGGGAAGGTGTTAGGTGGACCTGGCCCAAGGGGCTGAGCCAGGTGGAGAAAGAGCCCACTGCTACCCCAGGAAGGCAGACTCCACGAGAGCAGGGATGTGCCTCTGTCTTGTGGTACCCCCAACCATGTCTGTGATTGTTATTTACAACTCCCAAACCAGAAAAATATTTAATTGTATGTTAATTATGTAAATGTAACAAATGCATGGAGTATCATGTGATAAATACCGCAAAAAGAGAAATGGAGATTTTATGTGGCAGACACTGTTGGTTGCCCAGCAACAACCCTCCCCCACCCCATCCAGCCCTGGTACTGAAACCCTCACTGATATAGATGGCAGTGCATCTATCTAGATAACCTCAGATCCCAGCCTCCACTATAGCCAGTGGTGGCCAATGAAACACAAACAGAAATCACTGACAGGGAACCCTAGAAAAACACTGTGCCCCTGGCCCTTCGTATCTCTTCCTCCTGCCTGCCTGGAACACAGATGTGATGGCTGGAGTTCCTGCAGCCATCTTATATCACAATGTGGTCTGGAAAATAGAAACATACAAAGCAGAGCAGAGCAGAAAGAAAGGGAGAGGATGGTCCTCAAAGATATCATGAGATTGTCCCAGCAACTCTGTCTCACCAACCTCCAGCCTTCTCTCGTACTAAAGAAAAACAAACCCGTAATTAGTTTCAGCCTCTGTAGTTGGCTCTCTGATATTAAGAAATCAAGTTCAACTCCTAATTGACCTGGCTCTAGCCAATAAGACATCTGGGGAAGCCTACCAGGCAATCCTGGAAAATATCTTCCTCCCTAATAAAAGGGAAAAGCAACAGCACCCCTCCCTGCCTGGGATAAAGTTACATGAGGAAGTGATGCAGGGACTGCAGGCCATGTCATCATCAAAGTGGCAGACTGCTGAGGATGACAGAGCGAAGGACAGAAGCTTCTTGATATGAGGTACTACTGATGTGCAGCATGTTATTTGCTTAGGCCAGTGTTCAGTTGCGTTTTCTGTTCTCGCAACTGAAAATACTCCTAAATCGGGGGTCTGGCTCATCTCAGACTTCCTGGAGGAAGTGACATCCAACCCGAAACTGCAGAATGAACGGGTGTGGCCAGTGTACTGGGCTCCTGCTGGGCCTGCCTTCAGGGCTAACTCTCCCTTGTGAAATGCCGCCTTGAGGGGAAGGTCCCTCCAGGTTTGCTACCGCCAACCCCTGGCCAGGTTTAGGGCACAGGGTCCAGGCAAGGCCAGTGCAAAGCCTCCCTGCCCAGAACACGACCGCTGAGCAGAGGAACCCAAGGTCAGGGAGCAGCTGGAGCCAATCCTGCCTGAGAGCGTGCCCTGGAGACAGTGCCCCATCGCGCCTGCTCCTGAGGAGCTGGGAGTTCCCTGGTGCCGGTTCCTTTTAAGGCCTGGCTCCGGGTCTCTCCTGACTCTGTGGGTGCTCCATGGCCTTCCCAGGAAGTCACTGTCTCTTTTTTATATTCCTTAAGTTAACCAGATTCTATTTTTGCTTCTTGCAACCCAAACGATGTCAGTATATCCAGGCAAAGTACGTGAACTGTGCGTGCATGGGCGGAGTGACAGGCAAAGGAGAGAGCGGGGACGGAGGTCCAGAGGTGGACGGAGCCTGCGGCACAGAAGCCAGCACGGCTCGCGAGGACAGGGCGCCCCGCCAGGAAAGCACCTTGGCTCTGTGTGTTCTCTGCTGAATGCAAAGGGCTTGGAACAGAGCCTGGCGTACCGCGAGTGCTTGCTAAATACCTGCGGGTTGGATAAAGACGTGGTGAGCAAGGATCAACTCATTCAGGAGCTTGTAGTCAGGTCAGCGAGCTTCACCTCCATTCAGAGCATCACAGGGCCTACAGCCTCTCATTTAAACAACTGCCTGACACAGCCAGGCCAGCGGCCTGCACTTTGGGTGTATCCCACCCACCCTCAGAGCCCCCGGCCAGCAGCGGAGTGGCTGGGCTAAAGGAGAAATGAATTCAGAGCTGCAGGCCCCAGAGCAGAGCCTGGGGCAGCCGCTGGCCTCCTGTTTTGCTGCCCCAGGCTGACTCATGGATGACAAACCTGTCCTGTGGGACCTGGGGCTGGCGGTTCGAGGGCTGGCAGGCTCTGAGCCCTGCCAGGGGTGGGGGGCTGCCATCCATCCCAGAGGTCACAGCCACAGCCTCCCGCTGTGAGGGGCCCAGGAGGTGGGCAGGCCCGGGTTGGGGGGTATGGGGGGCCGGGCTGACGTCTGGAGCCCACCTAGCTCTCTGAAGCTCTCACAACCTGGGCTCCCAGCCCATCCCCTCCCCTCTTCTCCCCAGAGGGCCCTGGGGTAACCCACGGGGCAGCTCCAAAGATCCCAACAGCAGCGGGATCCTCCAGTCAGGAGTGAAATACACCAGCCCTGCATGCGCCCCCCGACCTGAAGAGTAAGCCCCCACCCGCATCCCGCCAGCCGTGAGGAAATCGAAAGTCACAAGCCCCAATTTTCTCCCCACAGTGTAATAAACCTCTCCACCTGCATCCCCCTGCCCCCTGAATGGCCCACCAGCCCCCTGGCTCGGGGGCCTCCAGCCACACTAACGGCCTTGAGGGTCAACCCAGGGGCAGCTGCTCTTATTAACCTCGTTTGGCAGATGAAGACACTGAGGGACCAACAGACGTGGCACTGGCCCAAGGGCACAGCTTGAGAATGGAATCCTCTTACAGCCGGGTCTGCCCTCCAAGTTACAAATAGGGAAACTGAGGCTCCAAGAGGGGAGGAGAGCTGCCCAGGGTTGTGGCCAGGGCTCCTGCCCTGTCCTTGTTTATCCTGTTTCTTCTGCTGGTGCCTTGAGCTGACAGACCGCCCTTTGCCTGCTCCCATCCAAGCCCTGCCGCCCCAACCCCCGGGCACTGGAACCCCTGCCTCGGCCAGCATCACCATCTGCCTGGCCGTGGGGTCAGCGTGGCGGGCACTCGGGCACATTTCTGCAGAGCCGGCACAGGAGCCAGCAGATGCCAGCCTCCCCACAGCACCTGGCTCCTGGCCTGACCTGCTCTCTCCTGTCCCACCCACTGCCCCCCACTCTCCTTTTGATGGCCGCAGCCTAGGGCCTCCTGAAGCCCAGGCAACACAGACCAAAAATAGCGAGCACACAGGGTAAGAGAGCAAACCTGAAGCTGGTGTCCCCGCATTCAAACCCCTGCTTGGCCAAGCCGTGACCGTGGGCAACTCCTTCACCTCTCCAAGCTTCAGGTCCTCATTTGTATTTTTTTAATCCCTGGATTTGCTCTTGACTTTCCAAGGCCTCTGCCACCCCTCAGTGGTGTTCCCTGCTCAGATTCCAAGTACAGGTTATAATCAATAGAGGCGGTATTACTACTATCTCTATTATTATTGTGACTACCAAGGCACCATGAAAGCCCCCGTCACACACACACACAGTCTTATAGGGGTACCCCATTTCTGTGTGTCCTGAGGCAAGTTATAAAACCTAAGCCTCAGTTCCTTCATCAGTAAAATGGGGATAACAACTGTTCTTCTGAAGATTAAATGAGATAATACACAGAGAGCAGAACTGATGCAATATGTAGCTTGTCAATCAAAGGACTAGTACCTCCCTCATTCTCAGAGCTAAAAGAACTCTGATTCATCCAAGGAGTTGGTAGGGAGCCTCAAGGAAGGAATTTTAAGGAATTCTAAGCCACCCTCAGCCATCCTTGTCGTCTTCCCCAGGGAGTGGTTTACGGGTGTATGTGGGACCCACCTGGCCATGAGACCAAGAGGAAGACTACTTGGGAAGGGACAGGACCGGAGGAAGTGTCCTCCCCCAATAAACAGAGTGAGAAAGCTCTCTTCACTTGTCCCTGCTGCCTGCCTTTGGCCATAGGTCTATATGGATGTGATATCTGGAGCTGTGGCAGCTGTCTTATGACAATGAGGCAGCGGGCAAGGTGGTAGAACAAAAAGATGGAAAGAGCCTGGGTGTAAATGGCATTGTTGAGCTCTAGGATCATGAGCTCTGGATGTCTAGTTACATCAACAAAAACAAAACAAAACAAAAAATGCCTTTACTGTGTAAGTCAAGTTTCTTATTATGTGCAGCCACAAGCATTTCTAGCTGATCAAGGTTTCAACCAACATTTTGTTTCAAGGAGCAGAATGATCTAGAAGTTAGAAATGAAGAGGTATTCAAAGCAAAATAACCCTCCTGAACTACACAATTATATGTTTTCTTTTTGACCTTCCTGTCAAGGTACAAGGTGAGGATGACTCTAATTAAGACTTGCCATAACCGGTCTTCAAGGTCACATCCTCATCACCAACCTCTCCCACGCAGAGAGACCCATACGCATACCATCCTTTCCTTTCCGTGACCTGGAGCCAGATGCCAGCTGTCTTTTGGTCAATCTCATGGAAGCCATCCTGTGTCAACTCCAATTAGCTTCCCTGTGTCCCCAGACCAAGCCAAGCAATGGGAGGCCTGCTGAAGTGGACAGAGGGTCAGCTGCAAACTTTACTCCACCATCCTCCCCTTGCCGCCACTGCAACAGGATGCTGGGGGATGGAGGTGGGGGCATTCTCAGGACCCACTGACAATGACTCGGGCTATTCCGGGGGGCCTCAGCCAGGAACACAGCTAATCTGACAGCACTGGCCAAGAGCAGGTCCCCACTGCGCCTGACATCAATCACAAACAGAAACCAGCAGACGCAGTTGCTCTGGCTAGTTCTCCTCCTTGCTGGAGTGCTCCAGGTCACAGCCCTGAGCCTCCCTGGCTTGGTCAAGGACCCTGGAGTTCTTCAAGACTCCTCTCTCAACCCTCGCCCACAATCCATCCATCCAACAGCAGACTCTGTTAGGTCTACCTTCAAAATACTCCAAAACCTGACCACATTTCCTGCCTCCTCCAAGGCCACACCGTTCTCAGGAGAGTTCTCATGCCTCCCTTGCCTGTACTTCTGAATCTGCCTCCTCGCCGGCTGGTCTATTGCCAGTCTCATCCCCCAACAGCCCCCAGCTCTTATTCCACCAAAATCAGCTGCTGTCCCATCTGCGCTGGGAGCCCTGCAGTGGCCCAAGCCCTCCCAAGAGGCCATGCGAGATAAAGCACATGCTCTGGGCTGGCTTCAGGGGATCCGAAGGAGGGGGCGGTGTGCTACAAAGGCTAGCAGCTCTGTGCTTCTGAGCCACGCAACTCTATAAATTCAAATCCAAGGTCATTTAAAGACCTCCCACGTTTTGGGGCCCCGCATCCTAACAAACATATTTTAAAATGCACCCATGTCCTACATTAAATACATTTTGGGGGTTTGACAAAGTTTTTTCAAGGCATTTCCTAAGCTTGCTTTTGAAGTGATTTGACGCCAAGAAGGCTTTACTTTACATAGATTGGCTCTGACTTCTAGGCAATCATCAGCAATTTGTTCGGCAAGAGAAAATCCAGGCAGTAAATTGTTTTCGAATGGAATGAAGTTTCTATGAATGGGAAACTTAACAATTAATGAGGCTGCCATAGAGCTGTACTCTATAAAAGTTTAAACATGTATCCATTTCAATTTCACAGTCTTCTCCTTGTCTTTGGAGCCAGTGCATTCTTCTTATGAACTATGAATGAAGGTTCTTGCAGGCTCCCTGAAAAGTCTGCAGAACTGAGGCATGAGGGGATAAGATGGGCCCACCCAAGTTCTAGCTATGCTGCTGCCAGGCTGTGTGCCCTTGACTAGGCACTTGGCCCCTCTGGACCCCAGTTCCCCATCTGTAAATGGAGTGGAGGACTCAGTGAGACAATGCACAAAAGCCCAGACGGGCCCTGGCCCAGAATAAGCATGCTGTGAACAGGAGCCGCCAACTGTGAGAGGCAGGCAGGTAGGAGTGTTCACAGCACCTCAACAGAACAATCACCTTGGGGTAGTTGAAGCAAAAGTGGCTCATAGATTTTTCCAAGACTCTGCCCAGCCCCTGCTCACTGGGGACCTGTGTGAAAGGAATAACCTGGCAAGCCCCACCTGGAGGCTCCGGTTTGGTGCCAGGATGGAACCAACTTGTCCCAGTTTGCCCGGGATCATCTCATGTCTAAAACAAAAAGTCTCAAGGTGGCAGTCACCCCACTGTCCCTTGACTGACAGATAAAATGTGATCTATCCATGCAACAGAATATTATTCAGCCTTTAAAAGGAAGGAAATTCTGACACAGCCTGCAACGTGGCCGAACCCTGAAGACTTTATGCGGACTGAAACAAGCCTGACACAGAAGCACAAATACTGCCTGGCCCCTTTACACAGGTTTCCCTGAGCAGGCCAACTCAGAGAAAGCGGAAGGGTGGCTGCCAGGAGCCAGGCAGCGGGGAGTCACAGGACACTACTGTTTAACGGGGACAGAGTTTCAGTTTTGCAAGATGGAAAAAGCCCTGGAAGTGGACAGTGGTGATGGTTGTGTAATAATGAACTTAAGGCTACTGGACTGTACACGTAAAAATGGTTACGATGGTAAATGTTATCTTATGTGTTTGCCGATGTGCTCAGTCATGTCTGACTCTTTGTGACCCCATGGGCTGTAGCCCACCAGGCTCCTCTGTCCATGAGATTTCCCAGGCAGGAATACTGGAGCGGGTTGCCATTTACACGTCCAGGGGATCTTCCCAAGCCAGGAATCAAACCCGAGTCTCCTGTATTGGCAGGCGGGTTCTTCACCACTGCACCACATGGGAAGCCCATATTATGTGTATTTTACCACAATTTAAAAAACAATTTTATGGAAGGGGGGTTCAGGATGAGGGGACACATATACACCCGTGGCTGATTCATGCAGATGCATGCCCAAAACTGCCACAATATTGTAAAGTAATTAGCCTCCAATTAAAATAAATAGATTAATGTTTTAAAAAATAAAAAGACAGTTGGACAGAAAAATAATAATAATAATTTTTAAACAAATTTTTAGGGACTTCCTAGGTGGTCCCGTAGCTAAGACTCCACACTCCCAACACAGGGGGCCCAGGTTCGATCCCTGGTCCGGGAACTAGATCTCACAGGTTGCAACTAAAGACCCTGCATGTCTCAGCTGAGATCCGGTGCAGCCAAATCAGTCAATAAAATTTAAAATGAAAGCCTTTTAAACCTCAAAGGCCCACATCCTGGTCAGCCCCTCCGCTCCGGGTCACACCCGCTCAGGGGAGCTCTCACCTGGGCCAGGAGCCAGTCCACCAGCTTGCTCCCAGGAAGCACGGACTTATACGTCTTCAGGTGGTAATCGCGGTCCCTGTGGAGAGGAAGCCGGCCGTGAGCCGATCGGGCAGGAGGGAGGGCAAACAGTCCCGAAGTCCCTGCTCAAAGCGCTCGGGGTCCAGGGACTTCCAGATTCTCCAGCCACGGGTCAGAGGCCGGGGAGTCCGGCCGGACCCGCCCCTCACTCACAGCATCACCTAGAGCAGGTCTGTTCCAACCCAGGACCCCATCCTCAGGCGGCTCTAAGGCTTCGGAAAAGCTCCCCAGCCTGGGGCTCTCCAGCAGGGATGACTATGCCCCCCACCCCCACAAGGAATGCTTGGCTGTGTCTAGTGACATTTTTGGCTGTCATGACCTGACCAGGGTCGGGGGGGACTGGAGGTATCATCAGCATCTAGCAGGTAGAGACCAGATGCTGCCAAGCACTCAAAATTGCCCAGAACAGCTCCCAAACAAGGAACGATCCCACCCAAGACGTCAAAAACGCTGAGCCCGCAGAGACCTGATTTACTCTTGAGTAGCAAGAGAAACTTTCAGTTCTTCCCTTTTTCCTTTTGTTTCATCATTGACATCCTTGCGTCTAAAGGTAACAAAACTATGTCGACATGGAAACATCTCTCCAGGGGCTGGAGTGGGCAGTCAGGACCAAGCAGGGAGCAGGGGTCTGTGACGGTCCTGGTTCTTCACTCTGACCTGTCGTAGCATCTAATTCCTGCCAAGTTGTGGTAGGAAGGCTTGTGCGGATCTTGCAGCCAAACCACAACAACTGCTCAGCTTCTGAAGCCGACTCAAACGGGTTTCTGTGGCCAGCCCTGTTGGGGCTGAGAAAGGCCGGTTTGGAGAGCTCTTCTCGGGAGCTGGGGAGCCCGGCAGGGCACGTGTGCGGTACCTGGGACCTGGGGCCGGCCCGGCCACTTCCTCCTCCGGGGGCGGACGGAGGGGCCCCTCCTGTGAGTTCTGAGCTGGACCGGGCCGGCCCACCTGGCTTCCGGGCCTGCGCGAAGGGGCTCCCTGGGCCTCACCTCCAAGGGGAGAAGACCCCTCCTCTCCGCTCCTGAGAGGTGATAAGTGCTGTCACAGGGGACAGAGGCCTCTGCAGCTGGTAAGGATCACGTCACCCTCCCCGGCCTGCATCCACAGCCATAAGCTTCACAGTACAGACAACCACAGATCACGGGCACGGACGCAGCCCTCACCATGTACCGGGCGCCACTCAGATTCACTCCTCGTCACTCAGATTCACACTCCAGGGGTGTGAGCTGCGCTTATGCCCATTCCACAGATGCACAGAGGCAAGAGAAGCTAGTTACCTTTCAGCCACCACTCAACAAACATTTACCGAGGGCTCCTTTGCCCTGGACCAGCACTCTCCAGTATGTGGCTGTTTTCCAATCAATCAGTGTTACATCAGAGTTCAGATTACACTCTTCAGTCTCACGAGTGTGAACGTACGTGTGACCAGTGGCCACTGTCTTGGGCAGCATGGGTACAGAGTGCTTCTACCAGTGCGGGAAGTCCTACTAGCCAGCGCCTCTTTGGGTGCTGCTGAGGGTTTGGGGACACAGAAGTGAGCAAATTCCCTGCCTCTGGTGAATGTAGAATTCAGTGGGGGAAAACAAGACAGTATACAGACCAAGAAATAAATATAGAGTATGCCAGTCACTGACAAGCTTCAAGAAGAAAACCAAAATGAAGGAAGGAGGGTGGTATGTTCCAGGTGTGATATTTTAGAAAGGTGGTCGGGAAGGCCCCTCTGACTTGGGGACATTTGAAGGAAGGAAGGGAGCAGATAGGTGGGGAAAGAATATCCTAGGCAAAGAGGACAGCAAGTGCAAAGGCCCTGGGATGGATCCTATTATTATCCCCATTCCACAGGGGGAAATAGCTGCTAACCAGCTCGCAGGCTGAGATCCAAACTCAGTCTGTCTGACCCCAGAACTAACACCCTTCACCACCACGTTGCAGTGTTTCCCAACAGATTAACTCACTTGACCCTCATGACAAATCTACAGGGTAGGTGCAGTTATGAGTCCCATTGGATGGAGAAGGAGACCGAGGCCCAGAGAGGTTAAGTTACTGGCCCAAGGCCACACAGCTGAGAAGGGGCAGAGGTGAAGCTTGGAGAGAGTAACTTACTTGATCACAGGGGTGTAAAGGCTGTGGAGACGGCAGTAAAGCCTCACACCCTGAAAGAGAAAAAGGGGGAGTCTGGAATCAGGCCACATTCTCTGGGGGGCCTGCAAATCCCGGCCGATAGGAGGGTGTGGGGAGCAGAGGGGGGCCGGCAGGGGCAGTGGGGTCCAGACTGTGGGTCAGGGCGGAGGGTCCGCACCTTGGACATGATGTCCTCCAGCTCGCTCCGGGCCTTGTAGGTGCCGTCATCATAGCGGAAGCGGTACATCACCTGCTCGTTCTTGAACTGGTGCTTGTCAGAGACTAGAAGGACCCAGGGCTGGTGAGACCGAGTGCAGCCCCCTGGCCCCTCCCAACCCACATCCCCATCCTCACCCTCCACCCAGCCAGGCTCCATGCTAAGTGCAATTTCACCAAACCCCCTGCCCACACTCCAACTGGAAACTAAAACTTCAATGGTTCTTGCTATTCTTTGCAGGGACAGAGAGAAAATTCTCCTCCCTGCCCGTAACTTTACAAGGCCACCTTTGCTTTGTGGGTGCCCCGAGTGAGTGCTGGATCTTCAAGCCCTGTGAGCAGTTTTATAAGGGCAGTCACGTCCCGGGGCCCACTCTGCACCCGGGGAACAGGCGGCCGCACAGCAGAGTAGAATAGAAATGGACTTTGGGTTAGTTCTGCACACGGCTGCTGAGGTCTGACCTGCCTACCCCTCAGCCACCCAGACCCAGGACCCACTCACCATGGTGGATAATACCATTCTCCAACAAGGCTTGGCCCAGGTTTACTCCTTCTTCCGTCTTGCTGATTTCACCAATTTCTAGGAGCCAGGCAACAAACTCACTGCCAGAAATATAAGATGCAGTTGAGAGGGCCACCCCCATCCTGGGACCATAGCTGCCAGCAATGAACTGGCCTGATCCCACCCACTCTCAGGAATGACAGCCAGAACTGCCTATGGGGAAGCAGAGCTCAGGCTCAGGGTTCCTGCTGAAAAATGAAAGTTAACGTGGAAGTCGCTCTGTCATGTCTGACTCTTTGTGACCCCAGGGACTATACAGTCCGTGGAATTCTCCAGGCTGGAATACTGGAGTGGGGAGCCTTTCCCTTCTCCAGGGGATCTTCCCAAGCCAGGGATCGAACCCAGGTCTCCTGCATTGCAGGCAGATTCTTTACCAGCTGAGCCACAGGAAGCAGGGGTTCCTGCTGAGGCCGGATGTTTCCTCAAGACCAATGGCAGAGAGGTGGGTGTGAGCAGACCTCAGGCCCTGCCTCAGGCTAACTGGATGGATGGATGGAGGGATGGAAGGATGGATGGATGCAAGGGAAGAAGGATGGATGGATGGATGGATGCAAGGGAAGATGGATGGATGGATGGATGGATGGATGGATGGATGGATGGATGGATGGAAGGATGGATGAATGCAAGGGAGGATGGATGGATGGATGGATGGATGGATGGTTGGATGAACGATGGGAGGAAGGATGGGTGGATGGGTGGAAGAATGAAAGGATGGACACGAGTGGATAAATGAATGAAAAGTGAGTAGATAACTAGATGATTCAACAGATAAATGACTAAGTGGCTGGGGAGCTTAGTGGTAGGTGGGTGGAGGGGAGCAGGAATGAATGGATGAGTAAGTGGAGAAACTACGGTAGATGGGGGCGGGGCGGGCAGGTGGGAGATGGATGATGGCTGGATGGGTGAACAGACAGAAGGAATGAAGAAACCAATAAGTGGGAAGAAATAAGGACCCAGAAAGATGATTGTAGAGAGTCAGGAGAGATAATGATGACCAAATCATGTCATTCTCCCACTGAAAACCCTCCAATGAGCTGCCTAGTTACTCTCAAAAAAACATGCAAATTCTGCCCACGTGATGACAAGGCCCTGCGTGAACTGTCCCCTCATCTCTGTTCTTTTCACTTATTCTGCTTTACCGCACCCACCGTCTTCCACGCTTACAAAACATGCCAAACTCCTGCTTGCCTTAGGGCCTTCGCACTTGCTGTTCCCGCTGTCAAGACACACCCTTCCCCAGCTCTTCAATAGACCTTCTCTTTCATCTTTACGTCTCAGCTCAAATATCACCTCCTTGAAGAAGGCTTCCCCAACCACCTCATCAAAACACCCGACCGCCACACAAACCATCCCATCTTTCAGTCATACTTCCTTTTTAGCACTCATCACTAGAGTAGTACCCTTTACAGATTTGTGGATGCGTTTATCAGCCGTCTCCCAGAACCAGAATGTCGTCTCCATGCTGATGGAGACCTGTTGTCTAATTCACAGCTCTACGCCCCCGGCACCTGGAAGCGGAGCCCAAGCACAGCAGGGCAGAGCAGCCTCGTGAACAACCGAAGGAATGAGCCATTCAACAAGAAGGGACATTCTGGGGGAAGCAGGAAGGCCTCGGCAAGAAAGATGTGCTCACAAGCCCAGAGGAACTGAGGCAAACCCAAAGTGACTACCCAGCGGGGCAGGGGCTCAGCCCAGACCTCAGGTCCCAGCTCTCGGAGGAACTTTCGGGGCTCTACGCAGAGCTCAGCCCAGTGGAAGTCAGCAGGAAAGGGGAGAGCTGCGGACGCAAGGCAATCTGTACTCAATGAAAGTGGGTGGCAGTTGGCCAGAGCACGGAGCTTATCGAAACCAGCTGTTCTGCCTCCAATTACAGGGCCAGCGGGGAGCAGGGCTATTTTTAGCTTTCCAGCGTTTGGCGGAGCAAAGACCTGTCTTATGTGTAGGTAGTGGGGTGTGCCGAGGCACTCAGGGAGCCCCAGCACAGGCCAAGGCGGGCGTAGACGAAACAGATCTATTCTGCGGAGCGGGAGCCCCGAGTGGCTAAGAGATTGTTCTGGGTCCTGTCCGCCCCCAGCCCGATTCCCCAAGTCCCCAAAATCAGCAGCAGAAAGAAAGCTGCCGGCAGCTGGGGGAGGCAAACAGATGTGGAGTGCCCACTCTTGGAAGCTGAGACTCGGCTGCCAGCTGCCCACCAGCTGTCCCCTCGGGGGCCACCTCTGCCCGGACCGGCGGCCCTGCGGCCAGGGTGGGGGAGAGACAGGAAGCCCCCTGCAGCAGCTGCTAGCGCAGAAAAAGGCAGCCCAGACGACAGAGGAGCCGAGACCCAGCTTTCTGCCCCCAGTTGAGTCTCGAGCTCTTTTTGAGGATCAATGTGCTGGGCAGATTTGGGCAAATCGCTGTCCCTCTCTGGGCCTCCAAAGGGTCCATCTGGCAAGTGGTCCATTCAGGGACCCTCTGGATTTTGTCAGTAATTTTCAAATCACACTGAATCTTGAGCTGGGGTCCAGGGTTCAAAACCAGACACCATTCACCTCTAATGCAGGGACCCTGACCTCTTGTAAATGAGTAAAAAGGGCCAGGTGGAAACTCTGCTGAGCCAGCCAGCACTTCCGGAGACGCAGCCACTCAGGGCGGCCAACCGTGGCGACATGGGAAGACTAAAGCATCTTATGACTTTTCAAGAGAAGCCAGAAATCCAGCGTTTCCTGTGAAACCTCCCAACTGTTAAATGTGGATATTGAATACCACGTTTTATGGAAAACGCGTCTGCAAACCGCACTGGGTCAGCGGGACATCGTCTGCCTCCACGGGGGTGCAGGGAAGAGAGTGAGGGCAGGAGGATCAGACTCTGAGTGAGAAGAAAGGTTCGGAAGCCAGCCGGCCGCCAGTTGGTGGGGGGCCAGGGCACGAGGAGCAGCGAGATCCAGTCTTCCAGAAAGACGTAACTGGATGCAGGGTGGGGGGGCGCTGGGGACGCAGGGAGCAGATCGGCCCACGTGGGCAGGAGCCGGAGATTCACGGAACGGGGCCCTAGCTGGGAGTCAGCATGCATCAGCCTTCATCGCTCTTCCTTCCTGCCCCACTGTGTCATGCCCCAGTAAACATGGGTTTCACCTGCGTCTGTCAAGTCCACGGCTGGGCACAGGGGACACACAGGCACGCCTGGCAATCTTCCCGGGAAGGTCCCTGGGTGAGGGCCAGTGTCCACTCACTCTCAGTACGAGAATCCCATTTCTCTTGCTCATCTCCTCCATGGCCTTGAGCTCCGTGAGGGCAGGAACTGGTGGGGGGTGGGTTATGTTCACCCCTGTGACGCCATGGTCTGAAATGCTTCCTGGGGCTGTCTGCAGCAATGCCTGGCAAATCATTATTTATCACCTACTACGTATTGACGGGGCTTCCCTGGTGGCTCAGGGGTAAAGACTTCGCCTGCCAACATAGGAGACGCAGGTATCTTGATCCCTGGGCTGAGAAGATCCCCTGGAGAAGAAAATGGCAACCCACTCCAGTATTCCTACCTGGGAAATCCCATGGACAGAGGAGCCTGGCAGGCAATAGTGCATGAGATCGTAAAAGAGCTGGACATGCCTTAGCAACTAACAACAGTCGTGCACTGATAATGGCAGTAAACTGCCTCACAGTGTCACACGAAGATGAAAAGGCATGGCCACGTGGCCGCACCCGGAGCAGAGAGGGGCTACCTGACCATGTCCCTAGGGTCACTGGCTCCTTCCACCTGAGAGGACCTGGATCCCAGCCGAGAAGAAAGAGGACCGCGGTCCCGGGCTGGGGGCAGAGCAAAGCCTGCAGGGAGGTGAGTTCCATTAGCACGATGATAAACAAGCTTTAGTCCTGGCCCTATTTCAAATGGGCAATGAAAGAAATCTCCCTAATCCTTCCTGAGGAGACAGAACACTGCTGAAGCTCTAATCATAGACCAGTTATCCCGTCCGGCTGGACTAAGCTCTCCGAAGGGTCCGTCATGGGGCGGGGAGGGCCTCTGACCCTGGGGGGCCGGAAGCACACCTCTCCTAAGAGAAAAACCTCCTTTCTTGCCCAGGGATTAGGAGATTAGCTGATGGAGACCAACCAGGCTGCCCCTTCCCGGCTTCACGCAGGTCTGGGGCCCACACTCGCCCCTCCACAAAGCCTCCCAGGGAACATGGAGCCAGATCACTGACCTGAGAACAAATCCCGACTCAAAGGCATTGCTGCCACCTCTCAGGGTCTCAACGACCCCTAAGGCCCCCTGGGGGCTGCCAGGCCAAGACCCCTACCCCACCCCCTTCCCCAGCTTCACACTCTGTCTCCAACTGCCCATCCAACAACCTCTCAATATCTTTCAACATACAAATGTCTACGGGGTGTCTCAACCTTATTAACACGTCCAAACCGGGGTTCCAAGTCTCCAAGTCTCCAAGTCTCCACCCCTTTCCCCACCTGGCTTCCAGGTCACCGCACTCACCCGCGTGCCTCCCGCCTCTCTGCCAGCTTCCTCTGTCTCCTTTGATAGTTGCTCCTCACCCCCAGGGCCCAGTCCATCCCTACCTCATTTCTTTCCGGCCCTCTTTCTACTCATCCCCTTGCAGATTTCATTCAGTTTCATGACTTTGGAAAAACCATCTAAACGCCCACACGCCCTGCACTTAGATCTCCCACTCAGACTCTTCTCCCTGAGATTTCATATCCACCTAGCAAGCTGACATCTCCATCTGGGGACCGGTCTCTATATGAGCATCCAAACATCCCCTGGGCTGTAGTCCACCCCCTGAAACCTCCCTGCGTCTCCCCACCAACTTCTCAGCAAGCAGCCATCCGCCCTTCCAGGTGCTCACAATCCTTATTTCCCTTCCTCCCTCACCCCGTCAGCAAATGCCATCACCTTCAAGATGACCCAGAATGTGACACTCGCCCCCATCTCCACGGTGACCACCCTAGACCCAGTCACCTCTCCCTTGGTCTATGATAACAGAATAATTCCAGCGGCTTTTATCCCAGGCCTCCCCAAAAGCTTTGGGGACGCAAGTGGGGTGTAAGTTAATGAATTCTAAACAGAACCCCAGCTACACAGGCAAGCTTCTCTCCCCACAAGTTTTGTGGGGCCCCAGGCATTCTCCTACCCTCTCCAGAGCGCGGCCACCAGGTCTAACACACAGCGGGGCCTGGGAACAACTGGAGGGTTTTACAGAGACTGCAATTCTCCCGCTTCTCCCAATCCCCAGCCCGCTCCCCCAGGTGAATGAGATTTAAACCTGGGTTTAGGATCCAATCCCGACTCACCTGCATTCTGGCCCTTTGATCCTCGGTTATAAAATAGCGGCAGGGGTAATAACATTTTATTATTAGGAAATAATGTAGTTCCCAAACAGGGAAATTGGAGGCCCCAACTACTCAAAGTCATAGGAGACCTGCCTCCCCTTATGTATCTCCGGAAGGGAGGTCTTACCAGACACCCACCCAGCCAACACCTCGATCTCAGACTTCCCGCCTCTAAAACCGTGAGAAAATACATCTCTGTTGTTTCAGCTGCCCAGACTCTGGGACTTTGTTAGGGCATCTGAACAGACTAATTCAAAGGTCTACATTTGCTCTTCCGGCCCTCCCAAAACCTTTGAAATCAACTCTCTGCATTAAATACCTCTTTGCTTGACATAGCTACAGGGGCTTCTCTTTGCTTAATTGCTAGAGCAGCGTTTTTCAACCCATGGTGGGCAACCCGCTCAGAGTCTGTGAAAGTCTCACTCAGCAGTATTTTTGAAATGAAGAAATGAGTAGGACAGAATAGACACAAATACTTGTAGGTGTATCAGGTACAGTAAATGTGAAACTTTGGCTTCAATCATACAGTTAATGGATTGTATGTGTGTACCTGGTCACAATATCAACCTTACATTTTGCACTGAGCCACAGTCAAAAACATTTGAAAGACCTGATACGGGGACCTCACTGTGCCTGACCTCCAAGGGCTGTTCCATAAGCATTGAGGGTGCTTTAGTGGCCCTGCCCAGGGGGGCTCCCGAGGGAAGGGGCAGAGCTGGGAAAAGCCAGGTGAGTGCAGATGGTCTGCCCACCTCCAGCCGAGGCCCAGGACCCAGGGGAGGGCAGGGTGGAGGCACTCACTTGCCGAGGAAGCACTTGGGGACGGTGCTCAGTTTTCTCCGACGGTCCTTGATGAGGTTCACCTTCTTGTTCATCATCATGTGGTACAGCTTCTCCCCCTTCTCCGCGATCATGACGTAGGCATCGCGCTCCATGCCCAGCTTCAGGCCTACGGAAGAGGCACGGTCAGCACCAGGCACTGGTAGCAGCGGGGACAGGCCTGCAGACCCCGAAAGCCTGTCTCCAGCTGACCCCCACTGCCACCAAGAATCCCAGGACGACCAACCGCACTGGCACCACCTTGGGCAAGTCTGCTCCAGTAGCCCTCAGTCTTCCCATGTCTAGTGGGCTGAGCCAGATAAGCTGAGCTCCCACCAATTATCACAGTCGCAGAGCTCCTACCCCTTCAAAGGCCTGCTTTTTGGTAGGTGGCCCCGATCTCTCTGGAAAGGAGAGCCACAGCTCTGTCCCCAGACACAGCTCTCACTCGACAGGAGGGATCAGACTGGGGGAAGCCATATACGCTCCCGGATTCGGGAAAGCCCCCGGCCACGCACTCTCGCGCTGCTCCCGCTCGCGGATGATGGCGTCCAACCACTTTTGCTTCTCCTCCGCCGTCTTGGCCATGCAGACAAACCACTTGTTCTTGGCCGTGTTGTGGATCTTCCAGCCGTTGGTGACGGTGTAGCCGTTGCTGTGATAATCCGCTAGCGGGGGCAGGAGGCAAAGAGAGGAGGTCAGCAAGGACTCAGCCATATAACTCAACATTCACCATTATGTGCTTATGAGTGAGGTCGTGGGACCAGCCCTGCCTGCTCCAGAGAGACAGGGCGGTGGGTACACCAAAGGGACCAGGTTTGGGGGTTTGAACTTACCACTCTTCAAATGCTCCCTCTCCTATCTCTTCCCTGGTGGGCAAGGAAGACCTGCCCATAAAGAAGTCTCCCCAAGCTCTCAATTATAGAGAGAACGACTCCATGAGAGACACCTGGTGCTTCCCCGCCTGCTTGCCTGTCTCCTTCGTGCACTTCAGGTTGCTTAAAACCCTAGTGCAGGGGCTTCTGTGATGGTCCAGGGGTTAAGACCCCGGCTGTCGATGTAGGGGACCTGGTTTGGATCCCTGGTCCGGGAAGATTTCACATGCCATGGGGCACCTAAGCTGGTGTGTGCCATAACTACTGATCCTGTGCTCCAAAACCCGGGAGCCACACTACTCAGCCCATAAGCTGCAACTCCTGAAGCCCGTGCTCCGCAAGAAGTGGAGCCACCACAGTGAGAAGCCCACACAGCAGGGGGGGGCCTACCTGTCCCGTCCTCCACGTTCTCCACCTCCATGACCTCAGTGTTGATTCGGCCCCGGAAGATGTACAAGGAGCCGTTGATGGATTTGGTCCTCTTGGTGGATTTCTTGCCCCCCGTGACCCTGAAAGACAGCGGGAAGTCAGCTTCCCCTTCCCATCCCCTCCCCAGGCCTCAGTCGTCTCCAACAGGGTGAACGGGAACAGGACAGTAACAGAAGGACACCGGGGACAGGAGCAGAGCAGGAACTGGCTCCGGAGCGTGGCATTTTGGCTGGGGCTGGGGTGACTTGAGCAAGTCACTTTTCCACTCTCAGCCACAGTGTCCTCATCTGGAAAATGTGCTAATAACCTTGCTGACCTCCCAGAGCTACTTTTGAGCCAACAGGAGATATGGATGTGAAACCAATAAGAAGCAATAGAAACCCCACTCTTCTAAGGCTAGAAAATGGGTAGAGGCTCTCAGGGTGTCTAACAAACAGGAACTTCCTGAAATAAAACCAGAATGGAAAGGAACTCCATTTCTACCTGAAGAAATCTGCACCTACCTACCTACCACTGATTCACATGCTCAGGTGAATTCTCACACACCTACTTAGTCATTCGACAAACCATCTGACCAGCACTTCCTCTAGGAAGGCTACCACGGTGGGATCAGGGCAGTCACTCACCCATGCATTCAACAGGTGATCAAGAGAATACCTACCAGGCACTATTCTAGGTGCTAGGGCTGCAGCAGGGAACAAAATGTAATCTCTGAGACTACATCTTCCAATATGGGAGGGCGGGAGGCACCCCCAAAGCTCTCCATCATTCCCCCTTCCAGCTCCTACCCCCTGCAAGATTAACCACTATCCTGATGTCAAACCTCATGGATTCACTTTGCTGTTTTGGAACTTCACATTCACGGAATCACACAGGGTGATGGTGATGGACGTTTGGGTTGGCTTCAGTTTGGTGCTGTGCCTTATGTTCTGGCACGTGTCTTATGAAGAACATACGTGTGCATTTCTTTGGGTTACCTACCTAGGAGTTGAATTTCTCAGTTATAAGGAATGCCCACAACTGGCTTTGGTAGATGCTGCCAAGCCATAACAATTATCCCACCCCCAGCGGCGTACAGACATTCCAGTTGCTCCACCGTCTCCATAACTGGTATTGAATTTCTCATTCTGGCCATTCTGGTGGAAGAGAGGAGTGTCTCTAATAAAGATTTCATCTGTATTCCCCTGGTGAATAATGAGGCTGAGCACTTTTTCATGTTTATTGGCCATCTGGTGTCTTCCATTTGTGAAATGACTGTCCTTTGACCATTTTTCTGTTGGGCTGTCTTTTTCTCAATGATTCATAACAGGGCTCAGCAGATTTTCTTCTGAAAAGGAACCAGCGTGTAAATATTTTCAACTGGGTGGGCCATATGGTCTCTGTTACAACTACTGAACTCAGCCCTTGAGGCATGAGTGCATCCACGGACAACACAAAAATGAATGGGCATGGCTATTTGCCAATAAAACTTTATTTATAAAAATAGGCAGAAGGCCAAAGTTGGCCTATATATTATGGATAGGATTGCAAAGTGATAGCAAAGATCTTCTCCTCTGTGGCCTGGCTTTTTATTCGCTTCTTGTTGTCTTTCAAGGAACAAAAGTTCTTAATTTTAATGTAGTCTGATAAATCTATTTTTCCTTTATACTTTCTGTACAATTTAAAAAATCTTTGCTTACCCCCCAGAATCATGAAGACAGACCCCTATGCCTTCTTCTAGAAGCTTTATTGTTTTATTGTTCACATTTAAATCAATGATCCACCTGAATTTGACTTTTGTATATCATATGAAGGATCAAGACTCATCTTTTTCCCGCTGGATATCAAACTGACCCAACACCATATACTGAACCGAACTGGTACTTGTGTTGAAATTTAAATGACTGCTTTCACGTAGGTCTATTTCTGGACTCACTACTGCACTCCATTAATCTGTCTGATTTTACACCAAAACTACACTGTCTTAATTACAGCAGCTTTGCAGTAAGACTTGGTCAGTAATCAAAGTCCTCTATCTTTGTCCCCCTTCAAAACTGTCTTAGCTGTCTTTGTCTGTTTGTGTTTCCATGTAAACTTTAAAAATCATTTACGTACATAGACACACAACCTCCCTCCTGCAATTTTTATCAGAATCACATTGAGGTTCTAGCCAACGTCTGATAAGAGAATGCAAAGCACTTGATGGTGATGTGGAGGTGAGGCAGGTCAGAATGAAGGACAGCTAAGACTCTGGCCTGAGAGCCTGAGTAAATGGTGGCACCCTTTATTAGGAATGAAAAAGACTCAAGGAGAAAAAGGTCTGGAGCAGATGTTGCAATGCAAAGGAAGAGTCTTGGAACTTCCCTGGCGGTCCAGTGGTTAAGATTCCACACTCCCAACGCAGAGGGCACAGGTTTGATCCCTGGTTGGGGAACTAAGATCCCACATGCCGCATGGTACGGCCTAAATAAAATGAAGAATCTTGTTTTAGACCCAAGTGAAGTGTGAGCTGTGTGTGACAAAACCAAGGGAAGACACAGTTTTAGATTTCTCCTGCTTTACACACCCTGTGCCAGGCATCATTCTAACCACCTTATGTGTTTTATCTTAACCTGTAAAAACAACCTCATGAGATGGAGAGTGTTTTCACCCCCACTAAACAGATAGAAAGACAGAGGCTTAAGAGTTGGCACAGCTAGCAGGCGGCAGCGTCTCTGTATTTTTAACCACTACACACTGCTGATGCCTCCATGATCTGAAACAAGCAGCTGAGACACATGAGACTTAGCCCAGTTTCCTCTTCTGAAGAATGGGGAGGTGGGCTTTTAAAACTCTCCCTTCCACTTCTGACACCCGAGAAGCCTCTATTTTTATTTTTTTTAATACGTATTTCTTTGGCCACCCGGATCCTAGTGGCAGCAGGCAGGATCTTTGCTGTATCTTGGGGAATCTTTCATTGCAGCTTGCAGACTCAGTAGCTGAGGCAAACGAGGTTAGTTGCCCCTCTGCGTGGGGGATCTTAGTTCCCCAACCAGGGATGGAACCTGCATTCCCTGCGTTGAAAGGGGGACTCTTAAGCACTGGACCACCAGGGAAGTCCTAAAGAGCCTCCAGTTTTGAATCAGACCAGAAGCACTCTTGAGTCAGAGACCTCTCCTGACCCATGACCCGGATTGGTGGTGCCTGGCGAAGACATAACGGGAGGCAGACACCTACCAGCATCGGGCATTTCCTGGGACCACATCAGAGTCAGGCCGGGAGCTCCATCCACCACTGATGGCCCCACCCCTCCGAGACCTCTCAGAGCCCGGCCCTCGGGCTCCTGACCCGGTACAGGAAAGGTGGCAGCCTGCCAGCTTCCACCAGGTGACACATGCCCTCGGCCTCCAGCTGGCACCGCTCACTTGCAAGCCTGAGGCCGGAAACGGCCTTACAAGATCTCATGCAGCCACAGGGCCGGCCCCAGAAGGCCCCCTGGGGGTCCAGCACCGCCAGCATCAGCTGCGATCGCTCCAGCGGAGGAAGGGCTCGCGCGGGGGTGGCTGAAGCCTGAGCAAACTCGGCCCCGGGCTGGGGGCCCACGGGGGCCTGAAGGGACGTGCTGTTTTCTAAACCCCCGTGTTCTGGGGAAAGGGCCTGCTTCAGACGGCCCGGGGAGGTGGTGCGGGCGGGGCTACGGGTGGATGCCGGCCGTGGCCTTGGCATCGCCGAAGGAGGATTTTCAGGACGGCCCCAGTGAGGACAGGCAGGATGCAAGGCCGGGGGAGAAGGCAGCGTTGGTGGAGGGACAGGAGGACACGAGAGAGTTGCAGACAGACTAAGGAAGTGAGCGGGAAGAAAACGTCACGTGAGGAAGAGACACTGACCCAGCCACGCAGAGAGGGCGAGGACGGACACGGAGGCCTCTGAGCAGAAGGAGCAAGTCCCAGAACAAGGAGGGGAGCGGGCAGAGGGAGGGGCCTGTGGCTGAACGCCTACTGTGTGCTAATCGCACCGAGTAGGAACTCGTCACCTGCGGAGGTTAACAGTAACAGCAGCTACTCGCTCCGGGCACTTACTATGCGCCAAGCAAACTTAACAGGTTTGTCCTTCAAAATGGCTCTATAGGGTACACCATAATTCAACCTATTCCACAGATGAGGAAATTGAAGCAGAGAGGCAAAGTCGCGGAGCTAGAGAAACAATAAAGAACTCGGCTCTTAACCAAACACGATTGTAAAGAAGGGGTCTTATGAACCCCACTTTACAGAAGAGAAAACCGAGGCTCAGAGAGGTCAGACTGCTGGAGGAGGGCAGTGACACGTTTCCCCACGCCCACACTGAACACCCCTCACTCACCCCGCGGAACAGTTCCTCACCACAACCTTAGGAGGCCAGCGGAATCAGACGAGGAAAACGAGGCTCAGGGAGACAGGAAGTGACAAGCCCAGAACCACGAAGGAAGGCGGAGGTGATGCTGAGAGTAAGGCCCAGATCTGGACCTCCCCTCAGCCCTAGCTTTTGCTAGATGAAAGAATAAAGAAGCCTCTGGCAAGTCACTATTTCATCCCTAAAACAACGTAGCAGGAAGAAGTTTCATTCAAAAAGGGCTGCACTGATCAGCTGCGACTGTCCTCGACCTCCTCGGCAAGGAAACTGAAAGGCAGGAATTCTCTTGGCCCACCAACCTACCCACCCACTCGTCCATCCAACCATCCACTCATGCCCCCTCCCCTCCGTCTCCTAACTTTCCCTCTCTCCACTCATTCATTCATCGCTCCATCAACTCAACCATCCAATCACCCAACCTCCCACACCAGGGACTAGCCACTCTGGCAACTACCAACCAATTATTCTTCAACACAGCCACCCAACAGACCATCTGTGCACTAATCTCTAAACCTCTACCATCCACTCAGCTTTCCAATTTGATGACCATCCAACCATCCATCCATCTACCCATTTACTTATAAAGGTCCCAACTCACCTTTCATCTAAACACACCTCTGCCAGTCCATCATGTCTTCATATCCATTCTCCAACGACCCAAACATAGATTCCCCCAACTGACTATCTATCCCTCCAGCCAGCCAGCTCCTAAATTCCAACCACTCACCCATTCATCTACTCACTCATCCGTCCACCAATCAATTCATACACTCATCCACAAGCACTGCTCCCCGGCCTCCCTTCACCAACATCCATTAATCTCCCAAACTTCCAACTGTGCATCTATCCCTCCTCGCATCTGCCCACACATCCTACCAAACATCCATCCCCATCGGTCAGTCTACCGTTCATCCACCCACCCACTCACTCTACAAAGTTTAAGAAGCTCCAATGAAAGATGCAAAAATGAGAAAGACACGCTCTTTCCCTCAAAAAATGTAACAGGAGAAGGATCCCCTCCCCTCAAACCATCTATCTTTGGATCTTAGAATCACAGGACGTGAGTGCCACAAAAAAAATCTCCAAACTACCATGACCATCTCAATCTACACTGTTCACTACGGCGGCCACAAGCCACATGTGACTACTGAGCTTAAAGGATGCCTAGCACAAATTGAGATGTGCTGTAAGCCTAACAGACACACTAGATTTTGAAGCTTTAGTGTACATTCATTAAAAGAATGCAAAATACCTACTCAATCAATTTTTTAAACTGATTAGGTAGAATAATAATATTTGGGGATATACTGGGGTAAATAAAATATATTATTTAAATTCATTCCACCTACCTCTTTTTGCTTTTCTAAATGCGGCTACTAGAAAATTTTAAGTATCCTATATTCCTGGAGAGTGCTGATCGAGAACAGAAAATTTTAAGTAACCTATATTCCTGAGAGTGCTGATCGAGAACAAATCCCTCAACTCAGAAGAGAAAAGGGAGGCCCGGAGAGGGAAATGACAAGCTGGTGTCAGCCCCAGGAGAAACTGTCAAGAGTGCAACCCGATCTCAGCCTCCTGACACACCCCGGCAGCCCTGGCCCGGCCTCCAGCCACTCACCTGGATTTCCGCTTGCAATAGACGAGCAGGTTGTCGAAGAGGAAGAAAGCTCTCTCCTGGATGTTGCCTGCGGAGATTTTTAACAAAGTCCCTTGCAGGAGGAGCTGGGTGCAGATGTCCGTGAGGTTGGAGCCCTAGGAGAACAACAGGGCGGGGGTGCAGTGCATGAGCTGGTGAATCCAGGAGAGCCCTTGGGAATACCCCTCTTTGTTCCCAGAGACAGACCTGTCCCTGACTCCCTCACAACCCCAAAATCTCAATGCACCACTGGAGGTCAACAGGCAGAAACCCAGTACCACCCAATCGACGGCTGCCCTCTGGTGCGTGCACGGGAATAATGCTGGCAGGAGCAGACAGAGACGACCGCCGCTCAGAGAGGGGGCCTGGGACTTGGCCCACACGGCCCAGGCTATGCTTCGTTACAGGTTTTGCTGCGTTTTGTCTGGTTGGTTTTTTTGCCAATCCCCTCCCCGCTTACTTATTTGTGTCTTGACTTGTTACTTTATCTCCTCCACAAGACTGCCACCTCTGGGACTTCTCTGGTTTCCAGCAGCTAAGACACCAAGCTCCCCAGGCGGGGGGTCCAGGTTCGAGCCCTGGCAGGGGAACTAGATTCCACACGCCGCAACTAAGAGCTCGCATACCACACCTAAAGCTCCTGCGTGCTGCAACTAAGACTGAGAACAGCCAAATAAACACATAACTATTTTTTAAATATTGGCAGAATTCATTACATACATACAAAGAATGCCACTTTCATACAGGCAGGAAGCATTATCAAGCATCCATCAAGCATTTGCCACTGTACTTCTAGCACCTCCCACACACTGTGGCACACAGGAGATCAACAAACGCCTGCAGAACAAGTGACCAGCCCCAAGTGAACGCCATCAGGGAGAGGATTCCGAGAGCGCCCCCTCTAGCTGGGGATGTGAGAAGAGATGGGAACGGTTCCGGAATTCTACCTGGTCATCTGTGCTAAATAACCAAGACGCTGGATGTGTGTGGGGTGCACTGAACCTTCGTGGGGCTCAAGCAGTGTGGTCAGGAAAGGCACTGGGGAGGCGTGGGAGGATGGCGAAGATAAAGAGGCTGAGGATACGGATGGGGCGAGGTCCCTGCTGGAGGGAGTCCTCGGACCCAAGGACCACACGGGTCCATCTGGAGCTCTGAGGGGACCAGGGCCGGGGCAGAGAGATCTTACAGTGATAAGAGAGAGGAAGCGGGAAAGAGACCTTGGAGGGCATGGGCGCCTGGGGAGGAGAGGTCGCAGACCCAAGCTCCTCTTCCATCCTAGAAAGGGCGGTTTCAGCTGGCACATGGCTGCCCAACCACAGACTCCACCTCTCAGCATCCCTCGCGCCAGGCGTGGTCCTGTGACGATATTCTGGCCAGCGTGCCCCACTCCAACATTTCTTGAGAGAAAACTGCCTCCCATTTCTCCCTTATCTCCCTTGCCTAGGCTGGAAGGTGGCCACAGACAGCAGACGATGGCACTGGAAGGGACCAGGGTCCAAGAGGAACAGGGCTGCCCCACGCCCAGCCTGCATCGCTGCTGAGAAATAAACCACTGGGTTGTTTGCTTTTGTTGCTGTTTTTGTTTTGGCTGCATTGCACGGCATGCCAGATTTCAGTTCCCTGACCAGGGATCAAACCTGTGCCCCCTGCAGTGGACGTGCAGAGCCCGAACAACTGGACTGCCAGGGAAATCCCAAGATTTTTATTTCACTTAAACTTATATCTCACTTAAACCATTATAGTCTCTCTTGCGTTAGAGCCTCCAACTTCAAGTGCTTGATGTACTTTAAATACATCAAGATAAGGAAGGAGGCCCCATCCACAGGTGGGGCCTCAGACACTGAGGCCCAGGGGATATGACACGGTAAGTGTTTATTTTAGGGGAAATTCATTACGAACCTGCAGATCACACAGTAGCAAGAAACCAAGAGACAAGATGCTGTCTCTGCCTGGAAATGAACTGAGGGAGGAAAGAGCGGGGATTCTTCGCAGAATCTCCTTCCCCAAACACTCAGCACCCAGGAGCGACAAGGTGTTCACACCCCAGAGAGGCCTGCCATCTCAATTATTTCTGAGACCCAGCACTGGGAATTGGTTTTAGCAACTCAGAAATGAGACTGTCTGCTAACTGCCCACTGCAATTCCCTCCGCTACTGTCAGAGTTGGTTTGCCTAGTGCACATGCGCCAGCTGGAAGCAGCAAATCCCTTCACCCAGTGGTGCCAGCCAGCCCCCTCGGGGTCTCGGGAAACCAGCTTCTTTGCAGTCAAGGGCTGTGCAGCCCAGGACACAAGCACATAGCCGTGCACAGAAATCACCGCCTGGACACCTGTGTGCCACCGGCAGACACGCGCTGCCCACAGCACAGCGACCCAGCAAGGCCGTGTGCCTGCTGCTCCGAGGGTATGGGGGCAAAAGCGGCCCTTGGAGCCTCAGCAGCCGTGCACACAGGGAGAGCGCGACTCCCTGGTGATGAGACGCCATCCGCGGCCCACAGCGCAGCTCAGAGCAGACGGCCACGCCACAGTTCTGCGAGGCCCCGTGCTTCCGTCTCCTCCGCCCACCTCACTCATGCCCGCCCTCCCGTCCTTCCAGGCTCCAGAGGGGATTTGGGCTGCTTGCATGTGCTGTGCTTAGTCGCTCAGTCGTGTCCAGCTCTTTGCGACCCCAGGGACTGTAGCTCGCCAAGCTCCTCTGTCCATGGGATTCTCCAGGCAAGAGGCCTGGAGTGGGTGGCCATGCCCTTCTCCAGGGGATCTTCGCGATGCAGGAATTGAACCCCAGTCTCCCACATCGCAGGAGGATTCTTACGCTCCAATGTATAGTATTTTAGAATAACTATCCTCAGAGTAAAGGGGACGCCCGGATTTATAAGATACAGAGCACCAGCTGACGCCAAAACGAAGGGAACCAGTGCTGTCCTGCCCGCTGCCCTTCAGGGTGGAAGGCTGCTGGCGCAGGAACCTCCCGCCGGGCCCGGCTGTAGGGCCCAAGAGCCCTAGACCAAGGCCAGGGGGCCGCAGAGAAGCACACCCAGCCTGGCACGTTGCTTCCCTGGCCTCGGCCAAGGGCCACGCAGAAAACTGCATCTGAAGTGCCCAGGATGCCGCAGAGGAAGACGCTCCCACCCCAGCCCTGCTGAGAAGCCCAGCCGACAGGCTCCCCGGAATCCTCGAGCCCGGGTCAGGGGTGGTGCTAAGGACCAGATACACACGAAGAGGCTGAACACCGCGGTGTCCGCCGGTCGGGGCTGCAGGCCTCCTTCAGACAGAGCAGAAGCGAAGTGATGTGCAGAGAAGAGGGCGAAAGCTAACGCAGGCGCAGGGCTTACCACCCGCCAGCTCCGGTTCTAAGTATCTCACAGAACTCCATTCACCCTTACAGCTCTCATTCTACAGAAACGGAGGTTCACTTTAGGAAACAAAGGCACAGGAGAGCGAAGTGACTCGTTCAAGGTCATACAGCCAGTCCGGGCTTCCCTGATAGCTTAGTTGGTAAAAAAAAATCCGCCTGCAATGCAAGAGACCCTGGTTCGATTCCTGGGTCAGGAAGATCCCCTGGAGAAGGGATAGGCTACCCACTCCAGTATTCTTGGGCTTCCCTGGTGACTCGGGGAAAGAATGAGCTGGGAAAGAATCCACCTGTGTTGTGGGAGACCTGGGTTCGATCCCTGGATCGGCAAGATCCCCTGGAGAAGGAAAAGGCTACCCACTCCAGTATTGTGGCCTGGAGAATTCCATGGACTGTATAGTCCCTGGGGTCACAAAGAGTCGGACACGACTGAGCAACTTTCACAACGACGACACAGCTAGTCAGTGGGTGAGCTGCGACCTGAGCCCAGACAGGCGGCCCTACCACCCTACCCACTCACCTCTGCCACCTGTGCCCCTCCTGGACGGGGACCCGAAGCGTTTTTGATGCATTTGTCAGCCTGGAGCAGGGGTCTTCAGGAGGGCAAGAGCACAAGGCATCCCAAAGAGGGTGGGAAGAACATACAAGAACTTCTACTTATGATCCCTCCTTTTAATGAATTTATGTTTTCCTCACGCTTCTTTCCCACTGTCCCTCTTTGGGGGAGTGAGCAGTGGACAGTCTCTTAAACCAGGGCTTCCAGAGCCAGCAAGAGTGGTGTGTTCTCTCTTTTTCTTACTAAGACCATGCATGTCTTTTTACGACCATGAGCTTCTCACGGAAGTCTGTGGAGCATCCCTTTGCAGGAGGGTCAGCCCACACCGGTACAAGCCCCGCCAAAGTTGCATGATGCTTTCTCATCTAAAAAAGTCAAACAAGAAATCCTGCTTTGCAGCCACGGCTCTTCCTGACCTTTATGGGGTATTTACTCGGAACCAATAAAAAAAAAAAAACACTGTTCTGAGCGCTTTGCATTCATCTAATCCCTGAATCCTCAAGTGACCCGTGTGGCCTCCTGCCACTATCCAAACTTATCAGATAAGGAAACTGAGGCAAAGGTACCCTCCAAGCAGAGGGGGTGGGCCCAGACACTTACTTCCACACTCTTGTGACATACTCCCATTTCCTGGCGCTCAATAAAATGGATTTATGGGTTACCGTATCTGGTTCTAACTAAACCAGTCCCGCAACTAAAAAGGACAATTGGCTTATAGAGGATCAGGCTAAAAAAAAAAACCACAGATCAGAGATCAAACTAATGATGCAAGCCTGAGCACACAGCAAGAGAGTGGCCAAGACAAGATCAACCTCCTCCGGAAACAAGTCCCTTGCCAGCCATATTCTGAGAGAGAAGACAGCTATCTAATCAGATTGGCAAGAGGTCAAACAGACCAGAACGTATCAAGAAGAGAATCAGAAATCAGGACCTGCAACCACCTTTGTTCACTGTGAACGCCGCCCTAAGTCATCCTGTCCCCTGAGGTGCTAACTGCTGATGGCATGCAGTTATTGCAAGCAGCTTCACAGTTAAACATTATTTGTTCTAGCTGGAACATACCATTTTCCCAAGTCCACCCTGAGGATCAAACTTGAAAACCTTTCTACTATAGAGAAAACTATGTCACATTTTCCTAAAATCATCTGTGTTCTATGCTTCACTTTATTGACAAAATGACACAGAAGACTACTTCAGAGATACTATTTCTGAAATTAGACAAGTAAAAGTGAAAGTGTAGTCGCTCAGTCGTGTCTGACTCTCTGTGACCCCATGGACTACAGTCCACCAGGCTCCTCTGTCCATGGAATGCTCTAGGCCAAGAATACTGGAGTGGATTCCCATTTCCTTCTCCAAGGAATCTTCCTGACCCAGGGATCAAACCTGGGTCTCCTGCATTGCGGGCAGATTCTTTACTGACTGAACACAAGGGAAGCCCGAAATTAGACAAGTAGGGGGAAATGAGGCCAGGAGAATAAGACAGGCTTGCATAAGGCAAGATCATCTGTAAGTTAAAAGGCTGGACCCAAGGTCAAGAGCCTGCACCTCAGTCTTCCACTCTGTAAAATGGGGATAGCAACAGCCCTCTCTTCCAGTGTTGGAACAATGTGTAACACGTGCTCAATAACTGCCAGCAACTCTTACTCTGGGTCACTTTATTTCCTACTGCACCCAGCAACACTGATCAAAATAAGGGCCATTCTCAAATTACAGATTTTTCAGGGTCAAAAGAGCCTCAAAGACCCTTAGTTCCTATTTCCCTAGGCATTTACCAGAAGGCATCTGGAAATCACTTCTGGTCTGGCTGCCAAACTGCTTGCTTAATGCTCTCCTCACAGGGGCCCACATGAGAAATTTTCTTTCTAGCTGATGTCAAGAACTCTGTCTCCCAGAAGGATTGCCCAGCTTCTTCCTTTTTTGACAAATGAATGCTAAGTAACTTACGTGTCTTGCTCTTTTTACCTTGGCTGCCAGGAAGCTCAAAGCCCGAACAGACAGATGCTTAAACATGTCCACTGTATAAACACTTCAGGTTAGCATATTTGGTGAAAGGAGCCAAGTGACCAATTTCTGGCCAGTGAGATGGAAAAGGAAGTCCCTCCGGGGCTTCAGGGGAATGTTTTCCTCCACAAGGGAGGAGAACTGAGTCCCATCTTCTCCTGATTTGTGTCAGATGATACCTGGAGCTGCGCCATCATGGAACCACAGAGGGTCACAAGAAACCGAATCAGAGCTCTGGCATCATGAAGGTGAAACGAGATTCCTTAGAGGAAACACCCTAACTGACACAATTTTCAGTTGTAGGAACAGAAACCAAGCTAAGCATTTTAAGCAGAAAAAATTGAGGGCCTTACTCAATTCTTGGAGGGGCTAGAGCAGCCTAGAATCACAGCTGCCAGAAAGCCAAGAACACTGCAGAACTAGCCCTCCAGGGGAGCCAGTGCCCCTGCCCTAACTGGGGAAAGGGACAATCAGACCCCCGCCTGCACAAGCTGGTATGCATGCTAGGTCACTTCAGTCGTGTCTGACTCTTCGCAACCCCACAGACTGTACAGCCCACCAGGCTTCTCTGTCCCTGGGAGTCTCCAGTTAAGAACACTGGAGTGGGTTGCCATGTCCTCCTCCAGGGGATCGTCCCAACCCAGGGATCAAACCCACATCTCCTACATTGCAGGTGGATTCTTTACTGTCGAGCCAATGGGAAAGCCCGCCCAAGCTGGTACTCTCAGGAAATGCTGCCCAAGCTGCTGCTGCCAGGCTTCAGGTGATGTAGCCTTAACTGTCAGCTACAAAGCCACCCCGTCCTGCCGGATACACACCACCAACCACGCAACAGAGCCCTTCCCCTTGACACCCAGCAGCTGGAACCTGGGCCCTCTGCAAATGCTATCACAGACAGCCAACGCAACCACGACTGCGCTTTGCTGCAAGAGCAGAAGGGTGAGCTCTGTCCCAACCCTGCCTTCCAAATCTCACGCAGCTGGATCTGATCTTGGCCGATCCCATCCCATCTCAGGGAGTCTGAGAAATGCAGTTATTTGTTCTCCAGCCTCAGCTGGGCAGGAAGGAGAGTGGGCACGAGATAAACACTGATGCACAACCACCCGCCTCCTTCCTGAACACAGGCCTCTCCCCTCGGCAGCCACACCCTCGGCCTCCCGCGACCCTGTCTCATTTAGGACTCCCCAACACAGGGACAGTGCTCCAGGAGGCCCAAGTGGTAAAGACTCTGCCTGCTAATGCAGGAAACACAAAAGGTGTGGGTTCAGTCCCTGGGTTGGGAAGGTTCCCTGGAGGAGGCAATGGCAACCCACTCCAGTATCCTTGACTGAAAAGTTCCATGGACAGAGGAACCTGGCAGGCTGCAGTCCACGCGGTCACGAAGAGTCGGATCCGACTGAGCGACAGAACACACACACACACAACACGGGGAGATGAAGTGGAAATCCCAAACGAAGCAAGCGCCAGAAAATCCAAACGGTCTAAGGCAGACGATTCAGAGAAAAATCTATGTCCAAGAGTCTTTCCCCTTTAGTCTCACTCTCCCATTCCAGCTGTACTTACTCAGACATTAACTTTTTTATTTATTCAGATTTTCCCATTTCCTTCTACAGATTTTCAGGAAAGCTCTAATAATTTAAGGAAGCCACAAACAGAGGAGATCAAGAATCCCATCCCCTGATAATCATGACCACAGTACCATCCATGTGCTTGTACTAAGTCGCTCTCCATTGTGTCTGACTCTCGGTAAGCCCCTGGACCACAGCCCACTGGGCTCCTCTGCCCACAGGACTCTCTAGGCAAGAATACTGGAATGGGTTGCCATGCCCTCCTCCAGGGCATCGTCCCTATCCAGAGATCGAACCCGTGTCGCCTGCATCTTTTGCATTGCAGGCATACTCTTCCCCACTGAGCCACCAAGGAAGCCTAGTAACAGCCATACCTACCATTCATTGAGTACCTACTATGTACAGGTATAGATAAGGAAAGTATGGTTCAGAGAAGTTAAGACATTTGCCTAAAGCCACCGTAAAAGAGTGTTAAAGCCAGAATTCTGTCCTGGAGTGAACCCTTAAACACGACCCTTGACCTTGGCATTCAAAGGACACCAGGCGGGTCAGGAAAGGAGAGTGAAGGAGAGTGATGTGGGGGTGGGGTAGGGAGAAAAACTAAAGGCTCCAATGGCTGATGCCGTGCAAAATGGGGCCCCAGGGTTACCAATTTTTTAAGAGAAACTTGAAATCTATACTTTTATGTGGACCTCACTGAAAAATAATTAAACTTTTTTTTTTGCAAGCAACATGTAGGCCAAACAAAATATGCCGCAGGCCAAAGCCGGTGCCCAGACGGCAGTGTGAACCCACAGCTGTGCACTCCCCCAGCCCGGGTCTGTCTCCAGCCCAGAAGGTTGCTCCTGCCCCAGACACACCTCCCAGCCTTCAATATGTGACTGCAGCTGCTCCAGGGCCTCTAGCTTCTCCATCTGCCGCTTGGTCTCATTGATGTTGGAGCAGACGGTCTTCATGGCCTGCAGGGCGCTCTGGACCGCGGGGTGGTCGGGGTGCTTGCCAGGGGTCCTCTTGGCCAGTTCCTAGGTTAGAGGAGAGGGCAGGGGTGAGCGACATCAACCCAGAGGGCACCAAACGGCCTCCAGGTCACCCAGGTCTGAGCCAAGTCCCAACTCTGCTCTGAACAGACTGGGACCTGGAGCTGGGGAACCTCATTCATTCATTCACACATTCAGTAAACGTCCCCTCAGCAGCTCCTCCAAAACAGACAGCGTTCTGGGGGATACATTTGTTAATAAACTAGAAAAATTCTTCACCTGGTGGATATTGCCTGCGTGCATACTCAGTCGCTTCAGTCGTGTCGGACTCTTTGCGACCCTATGGACTGCAGCCCACCAGGCTCCTCTGTCCACGGGATTCTCCAGACAAGAATACCAGAGTGGGTCGCCACGCCCTCCTCTGGGGATCTTCCCGACCAGGGCTCAAACCCGTGTCTCCTACATCTCCTGCACTGCAGGAGGAGTCCTTACCCACTGAGTCACCTGGGAAGCCCCTGGTGGATATTACATTCTAATAAAGAAGATGGGCTTAAAAAAAATCGAGTACATAACATAAGATTAGACAATTATTATGAAGACACATCAGAACAAGGGGCTACAAGGTCTTGGGCAAGGTGGTGGTCTTTCAAAAAAGGAGGGCAGGGAAGGTGCCTCTGAGGTGCTGACATCTGAACAGAGTGCGGACAAAGCCAAGGAGTGACTCCTGCAAAAATCTGGGGGAAGGGCATGCCTGGCAGCAGGAACAGCAAATGCAAAGGAGCAGAGTGGGAGCGCATGGGGAGTGAAAGGGAAACATCCCGGAGGCAGTGTGGCTGGAGGAGAGGAAACGAGAGAGAGAGAGGAGAAAGACAGCGAGTCGGAGGCGGAGTCTGGTAGATCACAGAGGCAGTCACAGACACTGCCCCTCCCCGGCCCCCAGCTTTCTCATCTGTAAAATGGGTATAAAGAACACCTTGGGGACTTCCCTGGCGGTCCAGCAGTTGAGCCCTCCAGGGTACAGTTTCGATCCCTGGTTGGGGAGCTAAGATTCCTGGCCAAACCAGAACATAAACAACAGAAGTAATATTGTAACAATTTCAATAAAGTGTTTAAAAATGGTGCACTGTCAAAAAAAAAAAAGAACCGCTAGCCTTCACAGGACGTGGAGAAAAGACATAAAGAGGCCAGTCAGGAGCCTGGATCTCCCAGCCCCTCCCCACCATTTCTCACTCTCCTCTCCCATCTTACCGCATCACAGGCTGGGACATTCCAGAGGACAGGTGAGTCTTAATCCAAGAGTTTCAGCCCCATAGGAAGTGTGATAAGGAACGCAGAGACTAGCCAAGCCTCGAGATATCAGAGGAGATTTTCAGGCCGCACCGCCTAACCGACAGGACCGGCTGGCAGAGATAATTTTCTCTAATCAGCTGGCCTCAGCGTGCCCAAATGTTTCAGTATCTCTCCATCTCTCTACTCTCTCAAAAATCACAGATATGACGCTCCAGCCAGTTGGTTCCCAGCACAGCCACAGGTGGGCTCCAGGGCTGCTTCCACCCCTGGGCAGCTGGGTGACCTTGGCCCAGATGCCCTCCACCCTGAGCTGCAGGTTTATCATCTGAAAACCAGTGATGGGACTTCCCTGTGGTCCAGGGGTTAAGACTCCGTGCTCCCAACGCTGGGGGCCCAGGTTTGAGCCCTGGTCAGGAAACTAGATCCCACATGCCTCAACTAAGAGTTTGCAAGCTGCAACTAAAGATCTCATCTGCTGCAACAAAGATCAAAGATAGCACGTGCCACAACTAAGGCCCGACACAGCTAAATAAATAAATTTTAAGAAAAGAAAAGAAAACCAGTGATGAGAAGGAAGATGGTGACGATGGCTGCAAGCAGCAGTCAATGCCTCTACTCTGTGCCTGTAGGTTCTGTTATTATCCCATTTAACAGATGAGGAGACGGAGGCTCAGCGGGAAGGACCAAGGCCTCTGAGAAGCAAGAGGCGGAACCTGGATCTGAACCCGGCCGTCTGGTTCTGCTCATGGTCATCTGTTGTTGTTGTTCAGTGGCTGTCATGACCGACTGTTCGTGACCCCGTGGATTGCAACATGCCAGGCCCCCTGTCCTTCACTATCTCCTGGAGTTTGCTCACACTCATGTTCATTGAGTCTATCGTGAGTGAGTGAGTGAGTGAGGGAAGTCGCTCAGTCATGTCTGACTCTTTGCAAACTCATGGACTGTCAGTCCATGGAATTCTCCAGGCCAGAATACTGGATTGGGTAGCGTTTCCCTTCTCCAGGGGATCTTCCAAAGCCAGGGATGGAACCCAGGTCTCTGCATTACAGGTAGATTCTTTACCAGCTGAGCCACCGGGGAAGCCCAAGAATACTGCAGTGGGTACCCTAGCCCTTCTCCAGGGGATCTTCCCGACCCAGGGATCGAACCCAGGTCTCCTGCATTGCAGGCAGATTCTTTACCAGCTGAGCCACAGGGAAGCCCCTGGTGAGGAGTAAATCAGACACCGTGGGGAAAGCCACCCGGCTGGGGAAGGACAGCCTCGGTGAGCACTGAGTCTCGGCTGGCCAGGATCAGGCCTGTCCGCAGGACAGGACGCGTGAGCTGAGCCCGCGAGCAGCAAAGGGCCGGCCGGGCGTCAGGTGCGTTCAGAGAGTACCCTGCGGAGCACCAGCTTCAAACACGGCCCTCCTCTAGCCACGTTTATCTCTTCTCTGCCCGAACAGGAGCAGATCCTAACGGTGCCGAGGTCCATTTGTTCTGTAACCTCAGACCCTGGGGGGTTTCTGAGCGCCTGCCTTGGGCCAGGGACAGGCCAGCGGGGAAGCAAAAGGGGGAGATGGAGCCCTCTCTCTGGAGGCAAGTGAGCTGGGAAAGGTGCTCCAGGGAAGAGGGGGAGGGGAAGGGGAGGAAGGGGAGGAAGGGGCCCAGACAACAGCCCCAAGTGGTGAAAGGGCCTGTGATAAATCAGAGAAGGGGAAGGACAGTGTGGGCCGGAAAGCCTTCAAGGAGGAAGTGAGGCAAAGGCAGGCCAGTCACTGAGTATCGAGCTCTTTGCACTGGGTTGGCCAAAATGTTTGTTTGGGTTTTAATAGCGTGCAGGAAAAGCTTTTTGGCCAGCCCTACACAGGGGACGTATTTCCATTGGTTCCCAAACTCAACAGAGACTAAGCCCAAGACAGCCCTCCGGGAGCTCACAAGAAAGGAAAAACAGTTCACAAGTTGAGTGTTAACCACTGACAGTAATAACAAGAGCTAACACTCGGGGAGGGTGTATATTCTTGTCAGGCTCCCGGAACCCTCACACCAGCCCCGTGAGATGGTTCCTGTTTTTACCCTCATTTGACACATGTGAGGACTGAAGCCCAGAGAGGTCAAGTCACCTGCCTGAGGTCACAGAGCAGATTGGAGCCTAACCAGTCTGGCTCTGGGATCAATGCTCTGAACCGCTATACTGTTTTATAACTTTTCTGAGAGTTAAACAGGAACACTTTCCGCTCTAATAAATGTGTAAGTTATATGATGGATAAGTGATAAGTGAAAAATGAGGACAGACAATGTCTCTCTCAGACAATGAGAGAGGTGCAAAGGCCTGTCTCTGAGGAGCTGGGCCTCCAGATGGAGACCTGAGCGAAGAGAGGGCATGGGCCATGCAAAAACGTGAGGGAATGAGAGGAGCGCAAGCAAAGGCCCTGAGGCAGCAAGGAACAGCAAGGAGGCCAGAGAGGCTGCCGCAGAGTGAAAAAGAAAACGGTGTGTGACGCGGTTGGAGGTACGCGCTCGACACATCAGGGAAGGCTGGGGTGTGCTCCTCAGGTTCATCCCACGAGCCTCGGGGAAGCAATGGGCGGAGGGGGGGTGGGAACGAGCTGAGGCCTAACAACATCCAATTTATTTAGCCTTAACAGAATCCGTCTGACTGCCAAGCGGAAGATGCACTGGCGAGAACATAAAATGAACGTAAAAGCCAGAAGACTGGCTAGCGGCTACTGGTCCAGGCAAGAGATGCTCAAGAAACGAACCAGGAAACCCGGGTCCTCCTGTGATGGGTTTCCTGAGGCGCTGCCAACACCCAGTAGCTAGTAAAAATGAGAGAAAGGTTAGTCCCCTTTTCTGTCTGTCTGTCCTGCCCCAGATCGGTGCTGGGCATAGAGAACTGAAACTCCAGGCTCCTCGCTGGACCAAAACTGAAGGAAAAGTGTTAGTTTTGCTTTCTTGGCTCACAAGGGAGTGTGGGCTCCACTCTGCCCAGCTACAAACTCCAGGTCTGTTCCGGCCCCTGGACCTTTGCACACACTTTGCCCTTCACTTGCATTCTATCTCCAAACTGTAAGCAGTGGGACTGCACTGGCATACGGACAGGTATATAGATCAATGGAAAAGAACTGAGAGTCCAGAAATAAATCCTTACATTTCTGGTCAGTAAATTTTTAATAGTGTTAAGACAATTAAATGGGGAAAGAACAGTCTTTTCAACAAATGCTAGTGGGAAACTGGGTATCCACATACAAAAAAAATAAAGTTGGACTCCTTCTCACACTGTATACAAAAATTAACTCCAAGTGGATCATAGACCTAAAAGTAAGAGCTGAAACTATAAAACAGTTAGAAAAAAACATAGGTATAAATCTTTGTGACCTTGGGGTAGGCAAAGCATTATTAGATATGACACCAGATGTATAGGCAACTAAAAGAAATTAGATTAACTGGACTTTAGCAAAATTAAAAACATTGTGCTTCAAAGACTATAAAGAAAGAGAAAAGACAATCTACAGAATGTGTAAATTATTAATACATATCGAACAAGGGACTTACATATACAAGGGACAGTATATACAAAAAAACTTTTACAACTTAATAAAAAGACAAATAGCTCAATTCTTTTTTTAAAAAAGCAAAAGGTTTAAATAGACATTTCTCAAAGACAATACACCAATGGCCAAAAAACTCACGAAAAGAGGCTCAATATCATTAGTCATTACAGAAATCCAAAACAAAACCACAGTGAGGTAACACTTCACACCCCCTAGAATGGC